CACTAGTGGCCATGGAAATAAAAATTTAAAGTAGAAATAAGATACCATTTGTCACTGATCAGAATGGAAAAACTTCAAATGCTTGGTAAAAGCCACTGTCATCGGAAATTTAGGGAAAAGAGCGTTTGTTTACATTGTGGGTAGAAATATGTGAATCATTATGATTAAACACACACTCACACCCTTCAACTCCACAAGGACACCTCTGGGAATCCAGGGCATAGAAATGAGGGCCCCTGGCTGGAGGGCTGTGTGGACAGGAGGTCTATGGGAACCCTGTGGGGTGCCCAGAAAGGAGTGAAAGTTGCAGGTCTGAGGCAGTCATTCTTAGAGGCCTGCTGAGCAGCTGGTGTCTGGGAGATGCTGGCAAACAGCTGCCTACATGGACATAAAATAAGAGTGACCCTGGGCTTAAACTGCTTGTATAAACAATTCAGTTGGTGCTCAATGCCCGACTTCCTTCTGGGAGTCTGGAATTTGGGTGGGGGCTAGGAAGAGGTACCTACATTACCAGCCCCCAATAGAAAACACTGAGCACTCTCTAATGGGCTCCCCTGGAGACCGACCACCTGGCTTGTGCAGGCCCTACTCACTACTGGAGGAATTGCTTCTGTAGCTCCATGGGAGGGAACTCTTAGAAGCTAGCTCCTGGTTTCCTCTGGACTTCCCACTAGGTGTCCTTTCCCTTTGCTGATTTTGCTTTGGATCCTTGGCTACAATGAACTTTACTCATCAGTACAACTCTGTGCTGGGTTGTGAGTCCTTCTAGTGAATCACTGAAACTGGGGGTGGTTCTGAGGACCCTTGACACAGCATGGGGGAAGAGAGGTGGGCAGAGGAAGAAAATGTGCAGGAAAAAAGAGAATAACAGAATATTGTAGGAAAAGAGAATGATGATCATAAGAAAATCATCATAGGAACTGTGATCGCATTTTTTTTCAATATGTGTGCTTATAAATATGCCCAGAAAGGTATCAGAAAGGATGGTGGGGCTGGGGTATATATAGTTAAATAGCAGAGCACTTGCCCAGCATGCTAGGTTCAATCCCCAGCACTGGGAGGGGCAGTGGATGGGGGAAGTGGTCACCGCTATATTAAGATAAGACATATTTCATTATGTGGGATTTTAGGTGATCTTTCACCTCTTCCTTTATTTATTTTTTATTTTTTGTATGGTTTGGATTTGTGTGTTTGAGGGGATAGGGATGGAAATCAGGGCCTGGTCCATACCAGGTAAAAGTTCTACCACTAAGTCACATCCCTAGCCCTGAATTTGATTTTACAATGTGCATACACTATTTATATAATCAGAAAAAATAAAGCCATTTTTATTTAAGAAGGAAATAAAAATCAGTTGTTGGAGATTCTTGTTTAGAACAGCAGCTCCCGCTAAGTGTGGTGGTGCACACCCATAATTCCAGCAACTGAGGCAGGAAGATTGCAAGGTCAAGGTTAACCTTGTAATCTTGCTGCTTGCAACTTAGCAAGACCCTGTCAAAGGAAAAACAAAAAGGGGTGGGAGTTGGGGATGTAATTCAGTGGCAGAGTTCCCCTAGGTTCAATCCTCAGTACCACAAGCAAATAAAACACATAAAAAACCACCAAAACAAAAAACAAAACTCCCCAGCAGTTCCTGATGCTGCCTTCCTCTCTAACTTCCTACTCAAGTTCTGTGAGGATACAGAAGGAGGAAAAAACACACATGGCATGGCAGGTTAGGTGACAGAGAATCTGTTTCTAGAAACTGGGAGGAATTCCCATGATTTTTATGGCTTGTGGACATAATCAGTAGATTGCCTATATCAAGTTCTAGAATGGTCTGAGACCAGGGAGGGAGACACTATTCTCTCCCTACTCCACTGCCTTATGAATGAGAAACATGAGACCTATGTGTCACAGAAGATGGGATAGCTTCCCTCCACTGCATGGCTAATGGTTTATGAAGCAACTCTCCTTTCTCCTTTCAAATCTTTCTTTCCTAGCTAGAGTGCAACTTCTCACTAGAAAGAAAGCAGAGGCAGGGATGGGTAACAGTATGCTGCATTTCTAGAAGCCAAGGGCTATCAGAGGGGGCTGAGAGAGGCAGAGGCAGAGCCCGAGTATATTTTTTCAGGTCTGAGATGGGCTGTGAGCTGGAAGGGGAGTGGTAGACCCCGTCCTGGCCAGCAGAGATGTAACAGACAAAAGTCTGTGGCACACTGACCACTGTGAAAGAGGTGGAAAAACTGCCACTGTATGTTTGGGAAGAAGAACCTACTAGACACCAAATGGACAGAGAGTGAGTTCCACAGAGGGTGACGACGCGGTCCATTACCCATACTGGGACACTTTGAGAGTGCCTGGGATACTATTAATAGCTACAGTGTGTGACGGTCACCAACCTGAGCTGTCTTAAACAAACTGAGAGGAACGATCACCTGGGTTTGTGGCCTGAATCTGAGCTTGACTCAACGTCTTAGGTATGTTCAAAGAAAAAAACAACAGTATCAGATCTGAAAAGAACAAAACCATCACAAGTAAGCACCTGATAGAGGACAGATGCATGAAAATAATTCAATGTAGTAGACAAAAAACAGACCCAACTTACAAATTCATGAGTATTCTCAAGAAAGAAAACCAGAACTGAACAAAAGCAATATAAAAAATGCACTTAATAAAATTGTTGCATTTAATGAACTTCTTATATATTAAAATTTCCATTGCAGGATAGAGGTCTATGTGTAGGTTAATCCATTTTAATAAAGAAAAGTAGAGGCAATGGATTTATCCTACCATACATGAAGGCATACTATGACAAAATGTATGGCATTAATGCAAGATGGGCAAATAGAAAAATGGAACAGAATAGCCCTCTCTGACACACACAATACACACACTCTCTCTCTCTCCCTTCTCATATATGTATATAAATATATAAACAAGTGACAAAAGTGGGACATATACACACTCTCTCAAAAAACAAAACAATGAAATAGGACAGGCAGTCCAGTAGATGAGAAGATTGGCTAACTACATAGAGGAAAATAAAAAAACTGGATCCCTATATGAAGTTATATTTATAGGTAGATTTTAAATGGACTAAAGACTGAAATGTAAAAGGTAAAACGATATAGTTCAAAGAAAGAGTCTGATGATGTAAAATTTGAGGATTTTGTTCAACAAAGCATATTATGGATAAAGTTCATTTGAATGCCTACAAGATAGGAGAACATATTTATAATGTTTAAAGCAAAAACAGGTTACTATCTAGACTATTCAAGGAATTCCTGGTAATCAACAAGAAAATGCCAACTCCAGTAGAAAAATGGGCAAAGGATACAAAGGGACAGTTTAGAGGAAATCCCCAGAAGCAAATAAGCATTTAATGGAAACGCTCCAATTCAGTAGTAATTTAGTAGTAGCAAAACAAAATAAAATAGTTAGATATCATTATACCAGTTACCTGATACAATTCAGGGGGAAGTATCACATGGGTTAGGGATGTGGGCATACGGGAACCCTCAGAAGCAGCTGGTGGTTGTGTAAATGGGTAGTCATTCTGAAGAGGAACCCAGTGCTGATGCTGGATTCTCCCCAGCGCCTCCTGCTCTCTGCTTCCCAGCGTCCACAAGCTGAGCAGCTTTCCTCTGCCATGCTTTTCCACCATGGTGTTCTGACTCACCTCAAACCCCGAGCAATGGAGTTGGCTGACTTTGAACTGAGAACTAGAAATTACGAGCCAAATTAAACTTTTTCTCCTCTAAGTTGTTCTTATCAGGTATTTTGGTTACCTCAACACAAGGCTGATTAACAAATACACATATATAGAATTTTTTTACAATAAAATAGTACACATGGAAGCTATAAGAAAGGCCACGGAACAATAAAAAGAATGAATGCATGAATAAAATGAGAAGGGGGCCTTGCACAGCTCAATGACCATAGGTACAAGTTCATAAAGTGAGGTTAAGGGTGGTGGTGGGGTAATGATGGGTGAGGGCGGTGATCACAAGCATGTTGGCAAAATTTCTGAATTACAAGATTAAAAAAAAATCCTTTAAGAGCTAAAATCAGCATGCTATAGTGATACAGCCACTTCAATGTTTATGGCAGCACAATTCATAATAGACAAATTATGGAATCAACCCAGATGCCCGTCAACAGATGAATGGATCAAGAAAATGTGGAACATACACACAATGGAGTTTTATTCATCCATAAAGGAGTATAAAATAATGGCATTTGCTGGTAAATGAATGGAAATGGAGCAAATCATGCTAAGTAAAGTAAGCCAGACTCAGAAAATCAAGGGTCGGATGTTTTGTCTCATATATGGAAGCTAGAGCAAAATAAGGGAAAGAGAGCAATGGGGGAGGGGAGAGGATATTATAAAGATACAGGGATGATCAGTGGAGTGAGCAGGAGGAGAAGGAGAGGGAGGTAGGAAAGAGGGAAAGGGGAAGAAATATGGAATGAATTTAACAAAATCATGTTATATACATATATAAACATACCAAGGGGAATTTCACCTTTATGTATATGTAGAAAGTACCAATCAGAAATAAATAAATAAAGGAGTGAAAGGAAGACCAGTAAAGAAGGGAAAAAGGGGGAGGGAGGTGGGAGAAGGCAGAAAGGAGACTGAAACCAAATCCCTTGCATGTATGATTCTGTCTGAATGAACCCAAATAGTATGTAGAATTATAATGCTCTAATAAAAAAATTCTTTAAGCATCTAAGCTGAATGAAAAAACATAGTTAACTACAAAAGACAAAAAGCAGATGGTCTAGCTCTCTCTCCAACTCTAAATACCACAAGTCAAAAAGTCTTCAGAGTTTTAAGGATAAACTTGGGCAGCCAAATAAGTTTTCCACGTGTGAAGGCAACAAACATTCCAGGATCTGACCAGACATTCGAACGGCTCCATCCACGCACATTTCTTGAATTACAGAAAGCATTTAGTAAATTAAAAAAAAAAATAAAAGCAAAAACTACTCTTACTTAAAAAATATAAAATTACCTTTTGTAGAAAGAGAACAATCCGTACGAGCATCTGGGCACGGAGTTCCTCCAAGGTAAACAATGTACGGGGTGTTCGAATGAAAACTTTGGTCTTCCCATAAGCCACATCATCCTGAAAACCACATTTTTCTATCAGTTTCTTGACAGCCTCTTTGTCTGAAGGAAGGTCATGGTTGGGCCACGTGAATTCAGAGATCATCTTGTACCTGGATGGAAAAAATATAGGGTGCAAGGGAGAAAAACCATGTGGTCATCTTAACAGAAAAACTATTCAAAAAAAATTCAAGATGCTTAGTAGCAGACAAAACAAAGCCTTCTTTGCAAATTCTTAACAAAAGCAAATTTCATTAGCCTGATAAGAGATGTTAAAAAAACTTGTCTTCAATAAAATAAAACACTCCTTCATGATAACAACTCATACCAAGCTGGGGATAGGAAGGATTTCCTTAATGTAATAAAATATTTTTTAAAAATATTTATTTTTAAATTGGAGTTGGACACAACACTTTTATTTTACTTAATTATTTTTTATATGGTGCTGAAGATCGAACCCAGAGCCTTGCCCATGCTAGGTGAGCGCTCTACTGCTGAGCCACAACCCCAGCCCCTATTTACCCAAAATTTACAGCCAATATCACTTTAAAGTAGGCAAACTTGAACATATTTTCACAGACGCAAGACAAGGGTGCTTCTACCATGGGGTCTACGAAGCATTATCTGGAGTTCTAACCAGCAGCACAGGGAGACCAAAGAGCAAGCTGGCAAATGACTGAAGAAGGCACAAAACTGACAGTATTTATAAACAATATGACTCTTCGAAGGAAATCAAGAAGTCCCAAGACAGACTCTTATAACTAAAACAAAATTAAGCGGTGTTGTTGTATGCATTGATGTGTAAGTAGCTACATTTTTACATATAAATCGCTAAGCTTTTTATCACACGGGGCCGCTCACTGAGTGGCAGTTGGTTTCCTGAGCTGTGCAAGCAGAAGTCATGATCTTCTGCAGCTTGTACTCACAGGTGACATCGCACCATCAATAGGTCCAGCCTATACTCAAGGGTATTACAGGGCATGGAATCCCAGAGGCATCTTAGAATTCTGCCTGTCATGCAAAGTTGTTTAATATGCATAGTGAAATTAATTTTTTTCTTATATTGCACATCAAATTTTAAGTTATTGTGAGAAAGGCTTTCTTCGCACCCAGGCTATAGAGTAATCTACTGATGTTGGCTTCTAGTACTTGCATGTTTTCATTCTTTTATGTTTAGATCTCTGATCTGTTTGGAGTCTTATCTTGGCATATAGTGTGAGGATGAGTCAAATTTTATTTTTTGATAAAGAGCCACCCAGCTAATCCAATACCATTTTAAAGCCCATCTTTCCCCCCCTGTGATTTCATTTGCCATCTTTATCACATACTAAATGGTCATATGTGCTTCAGTTTATTTCTGGACTTTCTGATCTGCTTCATGGCTGTCCATCTGTGCATCAAAACCACATAGTTTTAATCATAGAGGCTACGAGCACAGTATAAATCTCTCCCTGTTTTTAAAGGTCTTTCTAGCTATTCTAACATGCCTATTTTTCATATGAGCTTCAGAATCAGGCTTTATAGTTCCAGGAAAAAAACGGTATTCAGCAAATAAACAAACTTAGAGAACCAAAAAACCCCAAATCCCCTTGATAATCGTTTTATTGAATTTATATATGGTGCTGAGTTGTCCCCTCCAAGAGCAAGGCATGTCTTCCCACTTGTGCAAGTCTCCTTTAGTGCTTTTCCAGGAGTCTTTTTAAAGTCTCACAGGCTTTTCACATTTCTAGCTAAGATGACAGATATCTAAGCAGCATCTGACAGAGTTACTTTACCCAGCTTATGACCTCCCTGTGACTTCTTGGTGTCCACCACAGAACACTCTCCTTGCTTTCCTTTGGTCTCTGGATATTCCTCCTCAGTCTCATTTTCTGGCAATTCTGGCTACTACTGGACCCCTAAGTGGTGGACAGCCTCTAAGTAGCACACTCTCCACATGGCCTCATCCAGCCCACTGGATTTAAATAATAAGTAAAATGTAAAACATAAATATGTAAATATTTTAATATGTACATTATAAGATGTATTTTTCAATCTGTGAATGTAGCATTCCCGGGCTTTCCCTTAATTATAAACTTCCGACTCCTGAACCCAGGGCCTAGACAGGTCCAGAAGGCGTTTGAAACTTCTCCTTCAATCTTTCCTGCCTCAGTTCATCCAGGTACTAAAGTTGGGATCCTGAGAACATTTTTATCCCCCTTTTTAAATCATTACTTCTAATCTATCATCAAATCTGGTTGATTCTTCCTCCAACAAATATATAAAATCCAATGATTCTCTTTCTTGTCACAGCTGCAATCTAATTCAAGCCAGCTTTGAGCTCCCTACGAAAGATTTGACCGTGGTTTTCCACTTCCTTTCCAAGCCATCCTGGGTGCATCAGCCACAGTGGCTTCCTCGGAAGCCTTAAATCACTTGTTATCTACTGCTCCCTTCTTCTCACACCTTCGGACCTGGGCGTGGCTGCCCCTGGCCTTTCTCTCTACAAGTTCCCCAGGTGTGGAAGGTGGGCTGGCCAGCCCCCTGCAGGGGGCGGGGCGTCCTCCTCCTCCTCTTCTTCCTTGATCCTCCAGGTCAACATTCCCCACCCCAATAATATCTCCAAGGCAATTCGCTTGGAGTTGTCTCCCCCCAGACACTCATCACAGTTTGTGATGACATGGATTTGTGGGATTTTCTGTTAAATGTTCCATGAAGGCACAGGCTGTTTCCCACTCTGGGCCTTCTGCCTGTCAAGTTGCCTGCAGTGATAACGTATTTGTGGAAAAAATGAAGGAATGTGTTTAAAAGTCTACTTACTTTGTTACATAGACACAGAAATCCAAACCAAATGAAAGAGTTTTAATAGGAAGACAGGTAATGCCACATAGTCTCATGTGAAAAAAAAAAAAAGAAGGACTAGACCAGAAACCTCTTGAATTCATTATTAAAATAGAGTAAGGGTCCATCCAAGTTGGGCCCTTGCCGGGGTAGTGATGGTGCTTGTCGGCAGTCCCGGGCACACCACAGAAGCTGGAAGCAGTGCTGCTGCCACCCTGTTCAGCTCACGTGGCAGGGTCTAGGCGCTCTGCCTGCCTTCCCACCAGCGGAGGCCCTGACACCAGTTCTCTAGCAAACCAGCGTCCTGAACTTGCTAATGAAAAAGCTGAACTCATCTGCTTCCTGACAACTTGTCTGACCTCCCTGAAGGACTTGAGCAGTTTTTAAGGTTATCAGTATGCTTAAAATCCTTCTCTCTTTATTCAATAGAGGCAATGAAAATAAAAGAAAGTGACAAGTGAAAATTCAGGTTTAAACCTAGGATGTTTACCAAAAAACCTTCAAAATCTTAAAGCAAAAATTGACTGTAGAAAATATCACTTTATTTCTCATCATCACTGAAAACAACAGTCTGATGTATGACACACCTTCTATCCTATCCCATGTTCCACAGCTAATTGGTGCATTCAGTATGACAATAAAATAAAATGACACTTTCTCAATTAAAAAAATGCACTTTACATGAAGCAGAAGATGAACCAGTCTGCAGAGTAAGAAGAGGCTCCTTTCCCAGAAGCACAGCCCATCATCTCATCTAGCACAATCCCTAGATGGTTCTAGAGAGGCATTTATCTCAACTTAAATAACCATCGGCTGTATAGTATAGACTTCTGTCTGTGCAAAATTTATGTCTTTTAAAACAGTAAGTTCCATGTTTAACATGTTTATCATGATTAGTGGTGTACTTTCTTGTTACTCTGCTTTCCTTTAGACTGAGCTTTCTTCATTCCATTTTCATTTTCTCCTCAAATTGAAAAATATATTCAATTATGAGGCAATTTTGTTTTTGTTTTTGTTTTTTTGGTTACTAAGGATTGAACCCAGGGCCTTACGCATGCTAGGCCAGTGCTGAGCCTCCACTACCCCTACTGAGTGACACTCCCATTTCTAAAGAACTGTTGAAGATCCTAGGGTCAGAGCCATTTGCGGGGTTCAAACATGGCACCCATGCTACTTAGCCACCTGGCCTGTGGCAAGCTACTTGTCCTTTAGGTGCCTCAGTTTCCTCATCTACATACAATGAAGGCAACATACTCACCTCCTGTGAGTGTCAATGTCAGTGATTTATTACATGTAGAATGTACCAAAGGGTGCCTGGTTTACAGAGTAAACATTTTAAAATATGAGCGGCTATTTTTACAATTCTCTTGAAAATTTCAACACATAAATTATCTGCATTATCTATGTCCTTTTCGTAAATAGGACAAAAGTCTTTACTTATCTCTATTTCTCACTCCTATTTAATTTTAGTCCAAGGTTATTACTAAAGACTCCCTCCCCACAATACTTTTGTAGATTTAACAAAAAAAATTGCTGATTTATTTGTACTATACTGCATTTTTGCATTCCACGTTTTCCTTCTCCATTCATCTTTCTTTCTGCTAAAGTACATACTCTGGAAGATTTTCCAGAGAGGGTCTATGAATAATAAACTTTCTGAGTGTGTAAGAATTTTTTAAAAAATTTTATTCACAATCTTGAAAGGCAACTGTGCATGGAAGACTCTAAACATGAACTTCATTTCCTTCACATGAAGATATGGCCCTTTGTCTACTTGATCCAATGTTGCTAATGAGGCTGATGTCTTTGAGTTCAGGGAGAGTCCCAGCCACGGTCTGAACAGTGCGTCTCCCCTTGCCTCTCTGTTCTTCTTTTCTGGTATCCTGTGGCTGGGTTCTGCCTCCCTTGTCAATGTGGAGAAGGCTACCTGTCCTGGCCACTAAGGCAACTTCCTGGTGCTGTAGCTACTGTAAACATTGATAGGGGACAGACAGATGTAAATGAGGGGAACAGAGGTTAAGGGAATGACTCCATAAAATGGGCCCACTGTGCTGACCCCCACGTGCTTTCACTTTTAAAAAGCAATTTCCCTGAAGGCCTGCCTCCTTAAGTCCACAGGGTATGTTACATTCCTGCACAAACTCCCTGTTATCTGCAGGAGACATGTAGGCCCTAAATGCAGATAAGAAGAACACAAGTTACCTTCAAGAGGGGGACTTTTGTGACCCTTCCTCAGACCAGATCCCAAATCTCAGGGAGATAAGAATAATATCCCAACCATAAAATCTTAAGAATAGGTTCCAATCAGAACCAGTCACCATGGGCCAAAGTGACCTACAGTTGTCATGGCAATGGGGACTTGAAGGTCTGATGCCATTCTGCTGTCAGTCAAAAGTCAAGAAGTGGACAGGACTCTCTGGAAACTTCCCTGGGACCCCAATAAAACTGGAGAGTAGGAGAGGCACATTGTCTCTTTCCTGAGAGGACCTACCTCTCCCTGGAGAGTGTCCCCTTTCCTATCCTTTTTAATAAACTCATGTCTGTTACTCTGAACAATATGTCTGAAATCTTTCTGACTTGATCATAAGAATTGGGGCTTGAAGGGGGCCTTCATGCTGCCTCAGTTTCCTGGAAGGCCCCAGCCCTGGAACACCAGCTGGATTTTAAAATGGCCCCATTCTAGTTTTATATGAGTATTAGAAAACATTTTAATCCTTATACCATGTTTTGCATGTCAAAAACAGACACACCAACAGCTTTTGATTTCAAAGTAAAATAAGTCCAAAAGGAGATTAAAGGTCAGCAGTAACAAGTATTTGCAAAATCCCTCACCCCGTCTCAATCAAGCTTGCTCACTGTCCACTTTGACAGCTTGCATGCTTCCCTTTACCTCATGGTAATATAGCTTTCAGTTTAGCCCCAACCCAGAGTTATCTGTTCCTGTGCTGTTCATTCTCATATTTCACTTCCGCTGATTTTCTGCAGAAGATGACACAGAAAACAAATTCTATGTCTGATCAACTGCTAGAATTTTCTAAGCAACAGCAATGGACTGGAAAGCTTTCTTTTTTTTTCCCCCCAAATATTTTTTAGTTGTGGACGGACACAATATCTTTATTTTGTTTATTTATTTTTATGTGGCGCTGAGGATCAAACCCAGTGCCTCACATGTGTGAGGCAAGTGCTCTACCACTGAGCCCCAGCCCCAGCCCGGTCTAGAAAGCTTTCTAATAATATAATTTGACACTGTTTGAACACAGCATGAAAACTTTGCTACTGAGGTAGGAGTTTAGGGATGTCAAGTGGCAGAGCCAGGTACAAGAGCAGTGCCCTCTAGAGTGAGGGATGCGTCCTCATGTCCTGTTGGTGTTAACTCCATTATCATGACAGCTCCCGCCACAGGCTCTATATTCAAAGTAGGCAAAAATAAAGTGACCAATAGGGACAAATGGAGCAAGGTCTTCAATCAGGTCCATGCAGAGAGGAGGGTGAGGTGCAGCTCAGCACATAGGACAAGACTTGCCCAGACGAGGGGCCCTGGGCCACCACGCTCGGCCTACTTGACTACCTCATGAAGTGTTATTTTCACTTTCAACAAATCTATGGTCTGCCTGTTACTTCTGCTTGTCTTGCTCAATTCTTTGTCTGGGATGCCAAGAACCTGGACCTCAACTGAATACCCTGGTGTCACTGCTACACAGCCTCAATAGAAAAGAAAAACCAACTGTAAAGATCTGTGTGATTTCTACAGGGAAAAAATGGTCAGTTTTGAGTGTAACCTTTCGATTAATGTAAAATTGAATTCCAATTTTCCAAACTAATATGCTAGAAACTTTTATTCATTTCAAGCAAGAATATTTCGTGCAATCTCTTGCAGAATGCTCATGGAGAAAATCTGACAAGGCTAGTTGGTCTCATCTATCTATCTATCAATCAATTAATCAATTGTACTGGGGATTGAACCCAGAGGTGCTTAACCACTGAGCTATATCCCTAGCCCTTTTAATATTTTATTTTGAGACAGGGTCTTGCTGAGTTGCTTAGGGTCTTACTAAGTTGCTGAGGCTGGCTTTGAACTTGCGATCCTCCTGCCTCAGCCTCCTGAGCTGCTGGGATTACCGGCATGTGCCACGGCACCAAATTCATCTTAGGTTTATAACCATGAGTCTCAAATGGGCACTCCTTCCTGATGGCAATCCTGTTAAAACAAACCTATGCTCTCCAGCTCTCCAAAACGAACAGTCTCATTTCCCCTTAAGCCTCCTATGTGCCACTTCTCCTAACCCTCACTCTCAGCTCATGATGTCGCCGCACACTTCACTGAGAAAACACAAAGGATCCAACAGGAGCATTTTTGTATTTGCCAAAGCTTTGAGCTTCTTGTCCCTGTGTCTGTGTTCCCCACCTGTCTTTTTTTGCTGTGGTGAAGTGCCCCTTCTCCTAGGCTGACAAACTTATGTCCAGGATTCGGTACCATCTTATATCTCAAGGATTTACTATAATTATCTCCCTCTTTCCTGCGTCACAGGTTTTCCCTGGTTCTGAATCATACCCACCTGCATACAGACCTTTTCTAGGACCTCCTGACCTCACATCCTTTTCTGGCTAATGCTTCCATTTTCTCTACTCCCAGGCTTAGCCCAAGTTTTTGAGTTGTTTTGGTGTCTGACACTGCATGTCCCTTTTCTGTCCTGCTCAAATCAGCCTCCACCCACTTTCTCCTTTTACCTCAGCATCACCAAGTCTCCTGGTTAAACTGCTTTTGTTACTTGGTTGCACAGTGGTATCCGAGGCTATTTCTTCTTGAGACACCATCTTCTCTTGTCTGGGACACCGCCCTCTTCTGGTTTTCCTCCTACCTTGCTGGTTGCTCCTACTCTTTGCTGGTTCTTTTGTGTCAAACCACAAATCTAAATACTGTCACAGACCTCCTCCTCCTCCTCTTCTCCACCCAGTCCCAGGGCTTTACATGTAATCTGCAGACTGACTTCTTTTTAGAAGTCTAGGTATGCAGCTCACTCAGTGTTCCTACCTAGACACAGAGCAGGCATTTCCAAGTTAACACAGTTAAGAGAATAATCTTGATTCTTTCCTTGCTTCTGTTCCATGTCCTCTCTTCAAGCTTCTTTGACCTATTTTATCTCAGCAAAGGATATCATGCTTTCCCAGATGCTCAAACTCAAATCTACTGTCATCCTTTATTATTCTCTACACCTGTCTCATCATAACCAATCCATTCATGAGCAAGTCTTCTCATCGTTACCCCCCAAACACATCCTTAATCTACGCCACTCATATCTACAATACCACCTGGCTGAGGTGTTATCTTCAAGCCATCTCTCCCATGCTCCTGTACTAGCATCCCTAAGCATCTCCTTGCTTTTTGTTCACACAGTAGCCTCAGTGATCCCTCAAAGACACCCATGACTGTGTCACTCCATGCTTAAAATTCACCCATGGTTTTCTATCACACCTCGTTGAAATCTAAATGGTTCAGTCTGACTACAAAGTTCCACATGATTCGGTCTGTCTCCTCGGATCTCATCTCACACCATGCCTGCCCCTCAGTGTCCTCCAACCATAGTGACTAGGTCAGGTACCAAAAGCGCCACACTCATTACTGCATTGGTGCCTTTCCCTGGCTGCTCCTTCCGTCCCACTTTCTCTTCTCGGGTCTTTGTATGCCTGGCATTTCTCTATCATTTCTATCTCCTTAGAGACTTCTGACTGACCAATCTACAGTATTAGAATTTTCTGCATTTTTATGGTTTATGTTTTATGTATTAATTTATGCATCTTTTGTGGGACCTGTAGTCCAGAATGTAGAAAATGTTCAATAAATATTTAAATACAAACAGATGAAACTGAAAGCATTCTTGGATTCCAAGCTGCCAACAATCATTGGCATTATCAATTAAAACAAGAACACATTTTACATTTATGAAGTGGTTTCAAGTCAGGTATGATTCTAAGCGCTTTGTTTATCATCAGAAAACCTTCAAAATAGCTACCACTATAATCCTCATTTCAAATGTGAGGAATCAGAGGCATGGAAAGGTTATAGGAGTTGCCCAAGGTCACATGTCTAGAAAATGGTAAAGCCAGGATTCAAAGCAGGTCGACTAACTTCAGTGTCCCCAGGCTTAACTTCTTTATATTCTACTATTATGATAATGATCATGACCAGAAATGGTAAGTAGCATTAATTGAGTATCTATTATGTGCCAGTAATATAGGCTTTTTACCCACTTAATCCTCACAATAGCCCTGTGAAATACTATCATTCTCATTGTTTAGGTGCAGCAACAAGCCTTAGCTGCTATGCTGCTGTGTGCAGGACTCTACTTCTCCACTGGGTCTGTTCTCACCTGTGGAGGAATTTCTCGTAGGTCTGGCGGAAGGCAAACCCGGCTCGGCGCACTCTCACGTTTTCCAGCAGTCCAAGGTATTCCACTTGGTGCCGGCAACGCTCATCATCGAATATCTGAGGGGATTTCTTGTCGTTGGGTTTGATGCAACGTACATAATATGGTTCCTGAGGAAACACATCAGCAAACGAGAAGTTTCACTAGGAAAATCCCCTAACTGGGGATCAGTGCTGTGTCAATTGAAGCTCAATGTCTCTGATTTCTCAGGCATATCCTTGTGGATAAGGAGTTGTTTTTCCTTTCTCAACTCAAGGTTGGATGTTCCCATGCACTCAGCAAAGTCTTTATATTATTATGCTTAAGATTCATCAGAAATGACAGAAAAGGGATAAAACTAGACAGCAAATAATTAAGACATGTAAGCACCATTTTTTTTTGTATTTATGGAATCATAGATAAGGTCTCTGAAAGAATAGTTCAATAGAAAAAAGCAGCAGATGTGGAAAGACCAAAAGGAACGAGGAATGTAAAATATTAATGACTGCTGTAGTGCACACCAAGAGTTCCTAAGTGTCAGCCATGATTAGGATTACTGTTGCTGTTGCTGCTGCTGTATTAGTTTGTGCTTTGAAAAACAGATGGGTAAGTAGAGGAGTTATACACACACACACACACACACCTCTGAAGGTGTCAGTAATTCTATGAAAGAGCCCAGTTAAAAATCCTTCCTTCTGTGCCAATTAAGTTTTGTACCCTGCATCAGATCACAACTCCTGTTAAACAGAACACTGTGCTCGGCATAGATCCTGGTACACTGAGGATAATAAACAAGGTAACACTGGATGAATCCAGGAGGTCAGATATATCCTCTTATAAGAGTACAGATTTTCTTCCTCTTCTCTGAATCCTTTATCCACCATACATACAGATGCACTTTAATTAAGACACAGAGTCCTCTGTAGTTAAATTATGCAGTTTTAAACTCCATGGAGGACTTGAGGTGGCAAGGGTAGCAAATACTTTAAGATGTAGAGGAGGTTTGAAAAATATGAATCTATTTGCATTTTGAACAAAATAAAAGTTTCCGACATCTAAAGAGTAATACTGTTTTCTTTCTTTCTGTAAGCCCTGCTGTGCTGTTTCTTATTGTTGCCAGAGCAGATTATCACAAATTTATTTGCTTGAAACAACACAATTAACTTATCTTACAGCTTTAGCAGCCTTAACTACTTCTGGAACCTTAATTCCACTTTACTGGGTAACAAAACATGGACACAGGTTCTGGGGATAAGGACATGAGCAATCCTTGGTGGAGGGGCTGTGGTATAATTGTTATAGGGACAGACGAGGCAAGGCACCAAAGATAGCAGGAAACAGTTTTACTTGGCTGCAGCCAAGTATAAATAAATAAAATAAAGTTTTTTTTTTTGTTTATTTGTTTATTTTTTTTAAATTAAGCTACAGATTGAAAACCAAAGAAAAGCAGGGACAGGCAGGGGCAGAGGACAAAAAAATCCCAGATTATCTTAAAGAGCAATAAACAGACTGAACAGCTGATTTTTCAAAAGAAACTACGGAATCCAAAGGAATGCAATCTTTGAAGTACTGAAAAACATGTCAACCTAGAATTTTATACTCAGCAAAGACATTCTTCAAGCAGGAAAGCTTTTATAACAATATTTTTTGGGTAAGAAAAACAAAGAATTGGTCACCGTCAGATTTAAACTATAACGGGGTGAAGTTCAGGCAGAAGAAGATGGTCCCAGGTGAGCAATACAGAAAGAGAAAGAAAGAAATGATGAATGAGCAAAGCTAAAGGCATATTGACAATATGTAATTATAATATCAAGAATGTCTTATTTGCTTTAAATATACATATTTAAATACACACACATATACATATATATGTTAAAGTACATGACCAACATAACATATAAGTTGAGAGTAGGATAAACAAAATAAAAAATGTTTTATTGGCCTTGTGTTGTCCAGAAAGGAAGTAAAAGTACAAAATAATATCAGATTATTATATGAAATAATAATATTATAATAATAAGTCAAGTAATTACCAAGAGCCAAGATCTCTTAAAACAACAAAGTGAATATAACTTCCAAGGTCCCCACAAAGGTCATCCCTAATACAAGAGTCCCTGAGCTCATTCAAGCCCCATGCTTACTATTTCCATCAAACATTTATCATTCTTCCAGCATTGATGGAATCACCAACAGGGATGGTTTTTACCATAAACAATGTGGCTGTGATAAGTTGATATACATCTTACTAGGTTACCAGGGGAACAGAGGTAAAAATTTAACTGAGGTTAATTTGTAAAACAGAAGAAATAAAAAGGAAAAAAATTTATAGAAGGATCAAATAAAAGCTCTAAGGGGATGGCTGATTTAAATGTAAGGGGAGGCAGCTGAGTAAAAAAAAAAAAAACAGTAATTACATTAAAAGTAAATGAACTAGAAGATTTATTCAAAAGATAAAGATTTTCAGGAAGGATTTTTTAAAAAGCCCAAACTAAGTTATGGAAGACATATTTGAAACATGAGGATATAGATAGACTGAAAGCAAAAGGATGAAATAGATATCATGCAAACCCTTGCCAAAACAAAAGCTGGTGTAGCTGTATCATTCATGCAAAGTAGACTTAAAGACAAAAAGCAATATGGAAATAGAGATACTGACAAGGGACTCAGTCACCAGAAGATATAACAGTAGTGGCTTGAATGAACCTAATATGTTCTCCAGATATTTTAAGCAAAAAACTTAAAGTACAACAAGGAGAAGTAGACAAATTCAGAATCAAAGTGGATTTTAACAAACTTTCAACACTGACTAATTAGTAAGGATCAAGAAAAGTTGAACATGATTAGCAAATGCAACCTAATGGGTTTGCATGCAATACTGAATGAAAATTATATTTAAATACAAACCAAACATAAACATAAAGCAAATCTAACAAATGTCTAAGGACTGAAGTCACCCACAGGATGTCCCCTGGGAAAGTAAGACTAAGGTAGAAATCAAGAGCAAAAAGATAATTAGAAAAATCTTAGTAACAGATAAGTCTTTTGATGAGGACTCAAGTGGAAATACATTCTCTATATTTAATCAGCATTCTGTGTCAATTTATATATGCCGCCTCCTTTCTCATTTATAAATATCGAGACTGACTCAGCCTAAGAAATCCTAAATTTGACAAATTCACTGTGGTATAAAGGTTAAATTGCAGAAATTAATTGTGATCTTATTCCCTTAAACTTTTAAACCTGTCTCTCTATATATTTTATGTGAAAACATCACTTGTGAAAGTACACTGATCAGTACATGCATTAGATAGAAGAGGCTGTATTTAAATATTCACCTATTTAGCCTGCTTTGTGCATTGTCCAACAGTCAAAGTCAAGTTCACTTAATAATTTACTGGTCATGTGTCCATAGCACTTTATAGTGCCATCAAGAAGCATATAAAATCAACAGAATCTATTTCTCCATCAAAAGATAAACTAGGTGAGAAGACAGAGTATACATTTGAAACACTGTGGACAGATCCCAAGGAAGTGAGTGAGCACGGATTCCCTCTTCTGGAGGACCAGATGGTACACACCAAGCTTCCTGATGAGGTCACTGAAAAGAAGGTGCTAGACCAAATTCAGGCAAAGGTCCTCTTCCATGCACACAGACCTAATAAGACTGAGGAAATAGCTCTCCAGGATCAGAAGATGACTACAATCTCCAGGAGCGAGCCGGTTGCCTGGGTCGTTTTCTCAGAAGCTACTGCTGATGGAGAAGGCAGTCATGGGTTGGGCGGATTGGGTGCAGCTTCTGATGAGGGGTGGGGGAGCTGGAGCCAGAGACAGAGGCCCTGCCAGAAGGGCTGTGCTTTGGTCTGAAATCCTGGAGAGCTAACCTTGGGAGTTAAAGGTGAATGGCAAGCCACTTTTAGTGACAGCAGCCCATCCCTCAGCTACCAATTGTAAGTCCTGAAATAGGATAAAGCTGATCCCAGATTGCCAGAATTTGACACAATCTTTCAACTTTTCTAATTCCTTATGTTTAGATGTCACTAATAAATACTATATATCTGGAGTCTTTCTTTAATTTTATCTTGATATAATTAATTTTATTTTAATATACTTGCTGATACATTTGGATTTATTTCTACCACCTTGATTGCCCCCAATTTTTGTATATTCTTTTGTCTCTTCTTTCCAATGTTGTTTTTTCTTAGGGCTCTTTCCCCCACTATTAGTTTGTAAGTCACAAACTCTATTTCTACTCTATCAATGAAAATTTTAACACATATTTTTAACTTATCAGAGTTGAAAGTTAAACCATATTTTTATTCTTTTCCTGAGTAACTGAAGGTTTTAATGTTTAAATATGACCCCATTTCCAATTCATATGCTACTGTTGTGGTATTTAATTCTAACATTTTATATACAGAATGAGATTATTTATACGCATCCACATATTTGCCTGTTTCTTTGCTCATCTTTTTGTACTCCAGATTTCTTTTTGCCATATTCTTCCTACTGCCTGATGTATATTCTTTAGAATTTCCTTTAGTGAGGATTTAATATTGGTAAACTCAGCTTTGGTTTTTTTAGAAACATTATTTGTTATGCCTTTGTTTTTGAAAAACATATTTTCTGGGCATAGATTTTTTTTCCCTTTAATACTAGGGATTGAACCCGGGGGCAATTAACCACTGAGCCACATCCCCATCCCTTTTCATATTTTATTTTGAGACAGGGTCTTGCTGAGTTGCTTAGGGCTTCGCTGAGTTGCTGAGGCTGGCTTTGAACTTGTGATCCTCCTGTCACAGCCTCCTGAGCTGCTGGGATTATAGGTGTGTGCCATCCTACCAGGCTGGGTATAGAATTTTGGTTAACAGATATTTTCACTCAGCCTAATTGTTATTCCTTTAAAGCCAATCTCCCACCCACCCCCACCCCTTGGCTCTCAGCTAGCTACTTTGATGTCCTAGAATTTCAGTAGGTGTCACTATGGAGATTTCTTTAAAATTTTCCAAGTTGGGATTCTGTTGGCTTCCTGATTCTGTTGAGTGGTGTTCTCTAACATTCCTGGAAATCTCAGGAACATTTCTTCAAATACTGCTTTGCCCATTCCCCTCCTTCTATATGGCTGATTGGATGCATGCTAGACCTTTTCATTTCATCTTCCATGTCTCCTGGTGTTTCTTCTACAGGTTTCATTTCTTAGTTAAAATAGAATTAATTTCTTTAATTCTTATTATTTATATTTTACTTTTTCTGTCAGCTTTGTCTAAATTGGATGTTAAACCCATGCACTGGGTTTTAAACTTTAATTACTTTATTTCTATCAATTGTCGAAAGAGCAAGAGTTGCTTGCTCTTTCTCATATTATCAGGCCTTTCATTTCTTGAGACCTTAAACATTCTTGTATTCTATTTCTGATCATTCCAGCATCAGAAGTTTTCATAAGTCTGAGCCTGCGGTTAGTTCACGTGGTTATCTTGTAGAGATTCCTCACTGTGAGCTCCTTATTTTCTTTGGAACTTATCTGTGAAACTTCTTTAAGGTGTGGTATGAAGGTGGTTTCCTCAGGAAAATAAACTGTGCTCCCTTCTTGCAGATGCCTGGGGTCAACGTAGGACTCAGACCACTTTAAAACAAACTGTTGGCTTGGAACTTTTCCAGTCCACCCAGTTAGTGTGAATTTGGGCTGCAAACCTCATAAAAGCTGGCTTGTAAATATACACTCTCAAGAGAGACTTATCCTCACCCCCTCAACATACCCCTTGGCTCATTATCAAGGACCAAGATGGGCAGTTTTCCTCCAGTTCACTCCAGATACAGACCTCTAGGGAGGTAGTCCTTGAAGACCTGCCATTTTTTGTATGTGTACAGAATCTCACATTAGACCCTGCTTTGCACAGGCCTGGCTGCCACCTCAAGGTTGAATAACCACACTCAAAGTTAGCTAGTTGGCTCTTCAAGATATCAGTTAGGGCTCTGGATCATTCCTTCTTTGGCTCAGTTACTTCTGCATTCAATCGGCCCCTGGCATGCTTATTCCTTATTTTCATTAGTTCTCAGCTGCATTCAGGAAATTGATTTTAGTACTTTACCTAATATTTTAGTTATTTTGAGTTGACTTTAGAGGGTACCTTGCTTATCATGCTGCCAAAAAATACATTATTCATATGTATTTTTGAGATCTGTTCATCTATGTTCCCATCTGAAAGTATTCTCTCATTTTATTTTCTGATATTAGCCTTGTATTGGGGTAATATTACTTTCATAAAATGAGTTGGGTGGTGGACTCTCTTTGCATCCTCCCAAACAGACAGGAACTGTAGGTTCCTTTAAGGTTTTATAAAATATATCTGTAAAACCATCTGGGCCTGGTGTCCTTGACAGAGTTGGGGAGAGTAAAGATCTGATTTGTGATTCAGAATTTTTTTTCAGGTTTTCCTTTGTTCTTTTTAGTTATATACAATAGTAGGATATATTTTGACATATCACCCATATATGGAGTATAACTTCTCATTCTTGTGATTGTACATAATGTGGAGCTAACACTGGTTGTGTATTCATTTATGACCACAAGAAAGTTATGCCTGATTCATTCTACTGTCTTTCCTATTCCCATCCTCCCTCCCTTTCCATAATTCAGAATTTGTAGGATTTGATTTATTCAAATTTTGTTTCTTCTTGAACTAATTTTGAAAACATTTTTCTAGAAAACTAAATTTCCAAATTTACTGGCAACCAGTTTTCAAAATATGTTGATGCTTTTTAAATCTCTAGTGTCTAAAGTTATAACTTTTTTCATCTAAAATTATCAGTTTTATTAGAGATATTATCTATTTGATTATTTTTTTGATTTTTCTATTTAAAATTTTAATATTTAAACATAATTTTCTTCTTTCTTTTTTTTTTTGAGAGAGAGAGAGAGAGAGAGAGAGAGAGAATTTTTTTTTAATACTTATTTTTTAGTTTTCGGCAGACACAACATCTTTCTTTGTATGTGGTGCTGAGGATCGAACCCAGGCCGGACGCATGCCAGGCGAGCGCGCTATCGCTTGAGCCACATCCCCAGCCCATTTTCTTCTTTCTTTAGAGCTTCTTTTCTAGCTTTTTGAGTTGAACTTCATTCATTCTTGGTTATTTTATAAAGACATGACAAATCACTTCAGTAGCACCCTATAAATTTGGACAAATTCTTTGTTGTGCAGTTCCAAATATTTTGTAATTATGTGTTTTTCTCTTCAATCTGTGAGTTATTTAGGAGAGTGGTTTTTAAAGTTCTCAAGCACATTAAAAAATACTGAGTTTTATTTCACTTGCTTTCAGGATGGGGAATGTTATCTGCATAGTTGAGTCTTTGTGAATGAGCACGTTGTCAAATTTTTTAAATGCTCTATGTATCATTGGAAGGAATATATACTTCCTAATCCCTGGAATCAAGTTTATTTTGATAAAGTTTGAATCTGGTTTTCAAAGTTTCTGCATTCTTACTAATTCTTTGCCTATTGGATCTATCAGCTTCTGGTAAAACTGGTTTGAAATCTTCCATTATGATTGTGGATTTATTAATTTTGCCTTTACAATTTTTCAATATTGGGCTAGGGTTGTGGCTCAGTGGCAGGGTGCTTGCCTAGCATGTGTGAGGCACTGGGTTCGATTCTCAGCACTGAATATCAATAAATAAAATAAAGGTCCATTGACAACTAAAAATATTAAGATTTTTTTTTCAGTATTTTTCCCTTTTATAGAGTTCATAATACATATGGCTATGTTGTTGGGTATTCAGTTCAAAACAGTTCTATTGTCTTGGGCATTTTTGTTTTGTTATTACTAGTTTCTTTGGGGTGCTTTCAACCATTTGGGAGGGGAATGGCTTGATGTACCTTCATCTCTCTCTCTCTCTCTCTCTCTCTCTCTCTTTTTTTGGTACCAGAGTTTGAACTCAGGGGCACTCTGTCATCGATCCACATAGCCAGCCCTATTTTGTATTTTATTTAGAGACAGAGTCTCACTGAGTTGCTTGGCGCCTCGTGCGCCCATTGCTGAGGCTGGCTTTGAATTCATGATCCTCCTGCCTCAGCCTCTGGAGCTGCTGGGATTACAGGTGTTCACCACCCCACCGGGCTCATCTCTTTGTTTTAAAGCTATCTGCTAAGTGTTATTTAGGTGTGTCTCCTGTAATTAGCTGGATTTTCTACCTATTTTGTTTGTTTAGATTATTTGCATTCATGGTGAATTCAAATGATTTAGATTTACTTCTATCACATTATTTTGCACTTTTTATACCTAACATTCTTCCTTTCCCCCTACCCCATGTTTTTTTTTTTCTTTAATTGTCCCTGTTCTCTTCCTTCCCTCCCCTCACAGAGAGACTGCGAAGCTATGGCAGAGAGTGCTAGGCTAGTTACTTTCCTTATATCTCATATCTTTTTCCTACTTTGAAACAGAATTCTTATTTCTAGTGTGATGCACCACTGACCAGAATAAAAATATACTTCCCAGCCTCCCTCGAGCAAAAGGAAGGTAGCTGAAGCACCACGTGGGCTTCCAGGAGGCTCTTTAAAAGGAAGTCCCAGCTGCCTTCTTGACAGGGGGATGAGGCCATGAACAGGAGGTAGGTCGTGGTCCCTCAGTCCTGATAACCTGGATCTGTGACTGCAGGTCTGGGATGCCTTCTCTTTTTCATTTGTGGGAGAGAGAAATGAACTTTTGTTTATGCCACAATTTGGGGATCTCTTTTACTAAAACCTGAATGCAATTTCTGACACAGATATTATAGAAGGTTCTAGAATTCTTATTTTTTAAACAAACATTTACCAATTTCAGAAAAAAAAGATTCTTCTTCCAGTTTATTAAATAACACCTTTCACACGACTCAGTGCTCAGCTCTTTCTTGTGTCACATGGCTTCCTTCTAAGTGCACCTTTCTAGACTAAGCTGACTGAAGATGGCATGGAGACAAGGATAGGGACTGCTGATGGAGTCCAGCCTTCAGTGGAGGGGTCCTTACTCCTGCCCCTCTGGAGATCTGATCATATGAGCCATCAACTATGCTTATTTGTTGGCACTTGAAGCCAAAGAATCCTGATGCAAAGAAATAGCTACTGAACCTATGCACTCCTGTAGCATTTGCCTAATTCATCCACAGTGAAGTACCAGAAACAGTATAGATTTCAATTTAAATTCTTAGAGAGGGAATTGATTTTAAAAAGACAATATCAGAGAAGCAAACACATAGGAAAAACACCAGAGGAGAAAGATAAAAATGAAGAACTAAAAATAACAAGTCTCAGAATGCTGCCTAATTTATCAAACTTGTCAACATCAGCAGTTAAGAGTAGGAATCTGTTCTTTAAGGGAGGGGAACAGACTTAAGCTATCAAACAGTATTAGAATCAAACTAGAAATAAATGTCCATAACACATCTTTATGTATCAACTACTTAAAATAGCCTAAGGATAATACTAAATAATGTCATGTTAAAATTCTCCCTGGTCATTTTTTTGGGTGGGGGGCGAAGGCAGGTACCAGGGATTGAACTCAGGGGCACTCAACCAGTGACCCACATCCCCAGCCCTATTTTGTATTTTATTTAGAGACAGGGTCTCACTGAGTTGCCTAGCGTCTTACAGTTGCTGAGGCTGGCTTTGAACTTGAGATCTTTCTGCCTCAGCCTCCTGAGCTGCTAGGATTACAGATGTACCCCATGGTGCCCAGCTTGTCATTTAATTTTTGAACACAATGATGATGCAGCACCACAATTTAACTCAAGAATTTTTGTTTGTTTCTTGCCAATCCCTTTCTTTAGCACGGGACTGAAGTTCATTTCGTCAGAATGGTATACTCTACATACACTTTAAACCATGCTGAGGTTTTCTTCTTGACCATGACAATAGAACAAAATACTCAGATTAAGAAAATTTACAATACAAACAATTATTTCATCCAGACAGTTTTTTTTAAAGAAAAATTCTATCATAACACTAATTTTAAGTATATGTTCTCCAATTTGATTAAAATAACTACCTAAAAAGCAAATCATAACATGCATTCTAACATATATCAAGAGGAAATCTATGAGTTAGAATGGATATTTAGAAAGGAAAATAATTACCTTTGAAGCAAGGTTGTCAACTAAAGCAATCATAGAATTCTTAAACAAGGTGGCTGCAGTCAGAGGTCGCTTGGTCACCTCTGTAATGCTCAGTTTGCCTTCAGGCCACATATTCTTCAGCACAGGATTTGAACTGAGAAGCACAGAAAGAGCAATTCAGAAGCTGCATTCAAATAACTTGAACAAAAATGGCTAAGCAACTCCACAAAAGTGAGTCCTGGGAATCCCAACTGGACTGCAGACTGAACCCACAAGGCCTAACTGGACAAATGGTTCCATCCAGAAAATTATGCTGCTATAATGACCAATACTGTACCACAAGCTTTTCTAAAGCAGAGCATGTTTAAAAATTTCTTCAAAGTGAGATCTATAGTGTTACCTAGAACCCTCAAATGCCTCCTAAAATATATACATAAAATGATTTTGTGATGATTAAGAAATGAGGAGAGCCGGGGGCGGTGGTGCATCCTGTAATCCCAGTGGTTCGGAAGGCTGAGGCAGGAGGATCGTGAGATCAAAGCCAGCCTTAGCAAAAATGAGGCACCAAGCAACTCAGTGAGACCCTGTCTCTAAATAAAACACAAAATAGGGTGGGGGATGTGGCTCAGTGGTCGAGTGCCCCTGAGTTCAGTCCCTAGTGCCCCGTCCCCCCAAAAGGGGACAAACCATAGGAAAAATATCCTCAAAATCATGGCAGAAAACAAGAAAGTAAAAATGTCTTCTGATTGAAAGAAATATTCATACAGAATAGATAAAACTACAAAAAGCAGCTCTTTGAAAAAAAAATATAGGTAGGGATATATAAAATAGTCATTTTTACACTGTCTTCTAGCAAATCCCATTAGTGTAGTTGAATTTATGAACATGTTTACAGATAGCTCTGGCAGTTATGGTATTTTATTGCTATGTCACTAGGACTGTTGCAATCTGATTCTAAAAACGTATTTCAGCCCAATTTCCATGTTAAAAATTACATATTCATTATTTGACTCTGTGGAGGTATTTTTAAAAATGTGTGGTGATCTCAACTGTGATTTTCTTCCTATTTCATTTTGGGTACTTTTCATTTTAAAGTAATTGGAACTCAAAATGTTGCTTCCTTCCTGGAAACTCTGTCAGAAGAAAATTTTTCTAAAAAACTTGGAGGTTGAAAAAGAAAAGAATTAACTCCGGCATTTAGTGCGGATTGTGCTTACGCTGCCACCATTTTACCTACTTTCCTTTCCCCGGTATGAAACTGAGTAAATTTCCGTTCCCTAGGTGCTCAACATAAGGGCTGCAGAAGGAAGAGATGGAATGCAGCAGGGTAGAGGCCAGCGGTGAGCCGAGGACAGGCTGGTCTGGGACTGCAGCACCCTGAGCCTCCCCACCGCCCCAGGAGCTCTCTGCATCTGCACCCTGGGTTTCAGCCAGCCTGGCCTTCTTGTGGTCCTTCCTGCTGTCAGTCCGCTCAGCTCCCTCAGTTGTTTCAGAGCCTTGGCTCCTCCCTCCCTCCCTCATTCACGCCTGGCCTCCCTGCCTGCCTCTGCTCCGCTGCCCTTCACTGGTACTCTGACCTACTTTATTATTCTGCACAGCACTCGTCAGACCTGAAAGTCATTTGTTTCCTTGTTTATTAACTGTCACCTCCACTAGACTATTAGCTCCATGAGGGCAGTGGCTTTGTCCAAGTTGTTTTCACTGCCATGTCCTAAAGCACAGAAGAATGTGTGGCTGGAAGGTGATCAATATGTTTTTGATGATCTACTGACCAACTGACTGAATAGACTTTTATAAAAAAGTAAATAGAGTTCTTGAATCTATAAGAAGCTGGCCAAGAATTTCCTTTCTTCCTTCTAAGCCTTCGTTCTGTATAGGGTTTAATTTGCTGTCATTTGTCTGGTTTTATTTTGTCCAGCTTTTATTATACCCAGTTGGTTCATGGGAAAATTCTGTCTGCGCAGCCAGGATCAGAGCCCCGACCCTAGATGCCAGTCTGACATCAGAGTGGTCTCTTGTTTGGGGACAAGGACCCTGCAGTGGGAATGTGAGTGTGCAAAACTTTCAGTTGGGCTACAAGTTGCCTGACACTTCTGCCTCCACTAGCCTGGCCTGGGGACTGCTGAGTACACTGGTAGGGGACGACAGAGACAGTAAACAGAGAAATGGTGGCAACCCAAGGGAGATCAAAGAAAACCATATTAATAGCAGGTTCCTTCCTAAGTTTATAGATTTTATCATTGTAAGGTCATGTACTGTTTCACTCATTAAGCACAAAAAAGTAGAACTAGAAAACCTGCCGGAAACTCTTAAAATAGTCACATAAAATAATAATGTGCCTGTATATATACATTGTGTAATATCTGTCAGAGAGCTTAAAGATAATCAGTAAAATATTAATCATACCTGTTATACATAAGACGCTTGAAATCTTGAAATAAAGTATCTTTATTTTTGTCAATAAAGCCAACGACAGAATAGCTAGTAGAAAGAAAACACAGAAAACATGAGTCATTCGCCATGCAAGAGCCACATTTCAGCTTTTCTAGAAGTTTACAAGCCTCTCCACTGTTGAATATGCAATCAATCATCTAAACGGCTGGTACTGTCCACCTGGTTGTGGGTCCAGGGACACCAAATTTGCCCACTAAATAGAAGGGACTTTGTTCCTCCTCTTCAGAAGGAGAGCCAACATCAGTCCTATCCATTCTGATTAAGACCATTATTTCCTATTGTTCATTGCTTACCTCAAGAAGACGACTTCAAAACAGAGAGCTGTCTTTATCACCCAGCATTCCTAAGAGAAAGGCAAAGCAGCCACATACAGGCACTAATATTTCTTCCGTAGGGAGGCCAAGCGACTGCCTAAGGACCACTCAGTGCTCAGGGTAGGGTAAAGAATCCAAGAAGAACTGCAAGGACGGCAAGAATTGGGTAAGCAGAGGAGAAAAAAGCAGGCAGATCACACAGGGAAACAGCAGAGTGAAGGGGTGGGAGCAGGCATAGGCAGGGAGTTCTGGAGAGAAGTGAGCCCCGTATTCGTGGTTTGGAGGAAGGGAGAGAGTGAGGTCTTGAAAGCCCAGCTGAGGCTGCAGTTGGCCAGAAGAGCAGGTGTGGGAGCTGCACCGCTGCAGTGACAGGCATGGCCTCTAGGGGGAGCACACAGCAGTGGGGTGGAGGAGTCCTGGGGCTGGGGTGATCAAGCGGAGGCTAGGAGGTTGAGCAAACGGTAGAGTTCTCCTTAACAGTTTTGCCCTCTGCCTGTCTACATGTTCTTCCTTGACAATCCCATCAGTGAAGACAACTCCCAGGTTTCTACTCCTGTCCCCTTGCCTTACATATTTAATTCTGTAAGAACATTCTTCCAGGGTATGCTGCTCATGGGCACTTCAAGGTCACGACATCCACAGTCATCTCCTTGCCTGCCTCACCCTAGGTCTTCTCCCTAATACCTTCTTATCACTTTGACTGAACTCTTGAAGTCACCCGACTCAATCTACTGTCAAACCCACACAACTCCAACTTCAAAGTCGTTAGTTTGGCTTTCAAGAATGTGATTTGATCTCAACCTACTTTTCCAGGCATTTCTCATCTGTGCTACAAAAAAGAACACATTCCAATCAAAGGAACCTAGTAGCTCTTTCCTGAATTTTTTTTTTTTTAGCACCTTTCCCACTTTTTCCTATAAAAGAATTTCCCAGCATTCAAAAACCAGTATCAATCTTCTTAGCTTCACTACAATAGCATAAGGTATCATGCCATTTCCTAACTCCAAATTCAGATAACACTTTTATTGTTCCTATGGCCAATAACTTAAACCATCTTTTATTGTATACTCGTATGTATATATGTGTGTGTGCCTAAGTACACATATAACCATATGTGTTTGGATGCATTTTTCATGTAAAGCTTTTTGTGGGCAGGGACCATGCCTTATAAAGTATTGTGTATACAGAAGACACTCAGTAAAAACTAGAAGAGGATGAAGGGCTTAGGGAGAGAAGAAGAAATCTGAGGCATTAAATATCAACTAGAGTTCTGACTGGGAGTCTGGAAACCTACTGTCTCAGTTCTTCCATAAACTTGGTATGTAACATTGGGTATGACTTTTACTCATTCTTCTAAGATTCTTTCTCTGTAAAGTAAGGAGGCTGGACTTGGGGGGTCTCAGAGGCCTCTGTCCAGCTTTGGGTTTATGCCATTCTGAGTTCTGAGACAGTGCTCTGTGAGTACAGCTTGGATTTTCAGCAGGGGCTATCTGTAAGGTACTGGATCTTCTTTCCTCAGTGTTCTGGGCCTGGGAACAGGACCAGAAAAGTGGAAAAAGGTGCCACTGCAGCACTGATGGCGAGTTTGACAGATGGGATGATAATCTTGAGCTGTATTATTTTATCATTTTAGAGTTTTAATTTAAATCAGGAATAGCTATTAAAATTTCTTCAAATATCTTTTCAGCATTTATAGAGAAGACCATTTGCTTTGTTCTTGTTTAATCTCTTCCTGTAATAGGTTACATGGAAAGAATTCCTAATGCAAAAAAAAAAAAAAAAAGCAAAAAGGAAAAGACTACTTTAAACTATAAGATGAGGAGCAGTGTTCAACAAACAGCGAACAACACATCTGAAACAGTAAGCTGAGAAATGACCTCCAACAAAAGATAACCAGATCAAACTCCCTGGAGCTCAGGGAAAGTCATCTTCTCTGGATATGTTAAGGATGTTGAGAGGAGGAGCTTATCCTATATTATTCAGATAGGCCTATCATGACATCATCATGTCCTTTTAAGATAAAGATGGGGAGGTTTTAATTTTTTTAATTTTTATTTCTTTAAATACTCCTGGCTTTTCATTTTTTAGTTGTTGACTTCACAATTTTTCCACTTTTTTTTTATTGGTGCACTAGAGTTGTACATCATGGTGGGATTTGTTGTTACATATTCATACATGCATGCAATAAGTTTGGCCAATATTATTCCTCAGTATTGCCCACTCCCCTCCTCTTCTCCTTTAGGCAGAGGGAGTTTTAAGACAGGCATACCAAAGAGGAGGCTAAAAGGATACACCCCAATCAAAGGAACCTAGTTGCTATTTCTTGAATATTTTTTAGCACCGTTCCCACTTTTTTCTATGAAAGAATTTCCCAGCATTCAAAGACCATGGAGGCAGAGATTCGAGTGATGTGACTACAAGCCACAAGCTGGAAAAGGAGGAGCCTCCGGAGGGTGTGTCCCTGCCTCCAGAACTGTGGAAGAATGCATCCGTTGTTTTAAGCCACTGATTTGTGATAATTTGTGACAGGAGCACTTGGAACTTCATATGCCATAGTTCACATAACATAGTTACATTTTTTCATCCATTTCTATTTTTACTGTAAGATAATCAGAAAATGTGATGTACAAGAATTTTACTTTTTCAATGATTTTTGAAAACATAGTACAGTAAAACAGCTCTGCCTATGTAGATATCTGGCTACTGGTAGCTCTTCAGTACAGGGATGATCTAGCCGCTGGGCCTTTTCGTGTCTGCGGCTGCTTCTACTTGAATATGCCCTCGTTTCTCCCTCTGATATTGCTTCCTCCAGCAAGACTTCTCTACCCTCCCTGCACTGGGTTCATTATCCTTCCTCACTGCTCCCATAATGCTCTGTGCCTCTCCAGTTTAACTCTTTACTTTTTCCATCATAATGACTTGATGATGTATCTGCTTATATCTCCATTAAACTGCTAGTTTCTTCTGAACAGTTCCCATTTTATCCACGTCTCTATCCCAATCCTTAACAAATTTGCATGATTTACTGATCCATCCACTGATTGTTGCTGAATACCAAGAACTGCACAGGCATACAGTGTGTGCTTAATGTTTGAAAAGCAAGGAATGAATGAAGCTGTGTTGTGTGTCTTTTTTTTTTTTTCAAATGAAAAGATAAAAATATACTGACACAAAAAATGATCAAAAATGCAAACAAAAAGGCAAACACTTGGTAGTTTCCCAGACTGCATTTTCTGAAGCAAGGTTGCATGCAAATCATCATGCTAGCCACTCCTGTAAGATACTCACACCACATCGCCTGCATAATGCCGGATTCGAAAATCCCGATCAAACTCCAGGATTTTGTCTGAGGCACAGACCTAAGAGAGGGAGGAGATTATTTTGAAAATAGACACTTTTGCTTTCCTAAAGGTACATTACAACTTCATATGAGATGATATTAGTGTCACAAATGATGGTATCATGAGTAAAATCACATTATGTGGGGCTTATGTGGTAAGAACTATGGACTTTCACAAAAAATCCACATAGCTAGACTCCATTTGCCAGCCACTCTTACAATTGATATGGTCACGTGACCACATTCTGGACAGTGGAAGTGAAGTGTGGCAGCTCCAGGCCCCAGCTGGGAAGACGTGGATGACTCCCCTAGGGACTAGCTGGATGCAGAGGTTAGTGTCTAGGGGATGGGAGGCCAGGTGAGGGAAGAAGTGTGGATCCCTGAGAGAAACAACCTCTGCTGTCATCTGTCACTTCAATCTCGGCTACAACCAGCTATGTTTTCTCTCCTCCATCTTCCACCTAAGGAGACCCACACTGAGCACTTATTATCTGTGAGGTGCACACATCTCATTCTGTCCTCATAACCTACACTTAAAATAAGTACTAGGGCCTCTCTCTGACACACCTGGCGACTGAGGCTCCAAGAGGCCAGGTAACTGGCACAGGACCATGCAGCTTCCCCAGGGCAGCCCTGGGAGGACTTGGGAACCCACATAACGCCTGTGCTCTCGCATGTTCTTGGGACCTGGTTCCTCTGCCTGCCGCTCGAGGACTCCAGTTCACAGGAGACCTACTGTGTGCAGCTCTTTGTCAGGGAAGGGGAATAGCTATGGAAAGGCAGCTCGTGTGTGCCCCAGGGGTCTCCATAACCTTCTGCTGTCTTCCCTTCCAGGAGCACCTTTGCCCTGGGAAGATGGCTGGATGTCCTACAGGCTCTAAAGCAGTCATCAAGACTCCCCCCAGCGCTGGCTGCAGTTACACGCAAAACCCACGGAGATTCTAATGTTGGAGAGCAAACAACCCCAATCGCTAAAGGAATAGTTATTAATTTGAAAAATGAGTAATTATGGGAAATTAGAACAAGACTTCCAAGGTTCACATCTGGGCATTACTAACTACCCACCCTTTCTCTCAGAGTTTTTGAGAGTTGAGTGAACCAAAGCATCTATATACGGAAGAATCTTCAAAATACGCAATTTCTCTTATTTTTCCCTCTTACTAACTCCTTTCACAAACCCTTTTATTTATAAAAGGAAAAGAACCCAAGTGATGAAATATGTGTGTGTGTGCGTGTGAGTGTGTGTGCACATGCGCGCGCGAGTGTCTACTAGGGACTTTGAACACTGGGGCACTCCACCAACTCAACTATGCTCCCAGCACTTAAAAATTTTACATTTTGAGACAGGGGGCTTCCCAGTTGCCAAAGCTGGCCCTGAGCTTGCAATCCTCCTGCCTCTGACTCCTGAGTAGCTGGGATTACAAGTGTGCACCACAACACAGGCTAATGAAATATCCTTACATTTTGGATACACTGCAAAAGTCTCAATTGATCTGAACACAAAAAGGGTTCTTTCGTTTTTTATTTGTGGCAATAATTATATATTTATAATTTAACTTTTTTTAAACTTTATTTTTTTAGTTGTAGTTGGACACAATACCTTTATTTTATTTGTTTTCTTTTTATGTGGTGCTGAGGATTGAACTCAGTGCCTCGCACATACTAGGCAAGCATTCTACCGCTGAGCCACAACCTCAGCCCCTATAATTTAACTTTTACTTTAAAAGTATTTTATAATTTATTGGGTTATTGCATGCCTCTCCATGGTAACTTTAATTCATCAAAGAAGTAGTTTACTCCATAAGTGAATAAACATTATATGCCAGAAACCCTTTCTTTAATATGCCATTAAGTCGAGTTAATCAGTGGCAAATGATGATCATACAGGTTAATGGCATTATATAACAAAACAGTACATAGTGATTAAAAATATCTTGACACTTGGTTATTTCATTTCTTTTCTTCATTAAGCAAAAATCCCAGAAAAGAGCACACTTTAAAAATCCACATCTCAGTACTTGTCCTGGGGATCCCAGAAAAAAGAAGAAGGAGCCATTTGCCTGATAGTTTGGAAATCAGAGCTCCACAATTTGGGAGTGGGGTGGGAACATCACAGATAAATCACTAATTAGCATTTTCTATCAAATCAGTAGCAAGTGTTTAAAAAATTATGAACAGTTTCTCTGAAGAGTGAGATTATATTTCAAAATATTTGTAGACAAATTTAACTCAAGTATAGAAATGGCCAAGGTGAAAGATGGTTTTACAATAAGGTGGGCTTGACTTCTCATGTGTGACTCATGGGTATTTATTTAAATGAAGACTTAAATAAGATGTATTAGAAGAAAGGATTTTTTTTTTTTTTTAAATAAAAGCTGATTTTCAACACGACTGACTGTCACAAACTGAAACAGTTTGCCGAGGGTACTCTGAGGTCTTCCACCAACTACTTTGAAAATAGCTCAGTTTGCCTTATTTTTCCACTACAGGATTTTTTTCTTTCTTATTTAAGAAATATTTCACTATCACAGGGTCATGAATATTCTGCTTTATTTTCTAAAATGTTTATAGTTTTAACTTCTCTACTGAGGTCTCTAAGGCACCTAAAATAGATTATACATGTGTGTAGTAGGGATTCTGATTCATTTTATTTTCTCATGAATTTCTAATTATCAATTATTGAGAAGTCTGAAACTTACATTGTCATAAATCAAGGATCTATTAAAGTATGGGTCTGTTTGAAAAGCCAAAAAAAAAAAAAAAAGAATGCAATTATTTGGCATGATCGTGATCAATTCAATTTAACTTCACAAATACCGATGAATGTCTATCATTTGGTGGGTGGGTCTAGGGGTTCTCCACAACCTGACTTGTAATTACAACAGGCATTTATAAAGTATCCATCAAAGATAAGGCCTTTCCCATGCAATCACTCCATTTTTTAAATGTGTCACTCTAAATCATTTAGGTTGCTTCTAACTTTGCTTACTGCTCTGCCTCCACCTGGAAAATGAGAAGCACTTGATAATTATTTGGGATTCAAGTGGGGATTCAAGTGAGTATTCCTAGCCCAGAACCCTAATGTCGAAGACCGGTCTAAAGTGTTTGGAGGCCAATTTGTAGCAGGTTACAAGTCAATCCTCAGTAACAGCCTAAGGAGAATATCTCCCAAATAGTGAGCCAGAAACATACCTCAGTCAGTAATCAATTTCTTGATGATATGTGCTTTGACTAGATAACTGTGGAATTCCCTGTTCTGAGTATATAATTTCAAAGGCAACAAAGTTAGAAAATAGATTTATTCATGCTAAAAAATGGCAGCATGTCATAGATTTATAAAATAATAGAGGAGCAGAAATGTTTGCCCTTTTATTTAAGGACATGAAGGAGCAGGGAGGTGTTCTCCTTCAGCTTATGGCTGCTAGGCAAGCTTGTATGTGTGGAGAAGGCCAGGGGTGATGGTGACATGCCCCTCCTCAACACAGATTCTGAACAAATACTAACAGCAGGGCCCGACACAGAGGTCTGATTACCACAACTGCCATCAGTTATTACAGAAAAGTGATTTGCTTGTGACAGTTTTAGATTGTGAAAAATGAGAGCAAAAAGGATTCCCGTTTGCTCAAGCAATGAGTTTCCCTGTGATACCCAGAATTATAGTTTCAATTTTTCCTGTTTTCAAGAAAGTCACATAGTCGGAAGAACCATGGCAGAGCACACACCGCATCTTGCAAATGAGGATTACAGTGAAAAGTCAAGGACAAAAGCTATTTTCTGTGCCAGAATTATCAGATGCAGGAGTAAAATTCTAGCACATGAACCAGGACTCTGCACCTATTGGCTGTCAATGACATCATGCTTTCCAAAGAATCATGCTCATTTTCCCCATTTCTAGCAAATAAAATGGTCTGGAGCTCCCTCTCCTGGACAACGCTATGATTTTATCAGTTTCGTCATTCTATAAACCAGAGAGGCAGAACTAACCATGCCAATAAATCATTCAATGATGCTTATGGCTTTTCTCCTTATTCGAGTGGACATTCTTTTAAATCCAATATGTAAAGTAATTTAACTCTGTCAAACAATGAGCAAAATCTGACAGATCAAAATGAGAGGAAGATCTCATTAAGCACATTACCTTTCGGCTGGAAAAATGACCATGTTTGCCCAATTTACTGTTCAGTGCCTCAAGGAATATTTCATCAGTGACTTTGCCGACATTCATGCAAGCGTCATCTAGGATGGCAATGATGCCTTTGTGCTGCTGCTCCACAAGGTCCACAATGATCTGATTGTTGAAGTAGTCAATCTGTAGGACACAGTGAGAAAGCAATTCTCTAAGTGAACAGAGACCAGTGCAGGTGGAACACAAAGATGCCTCCACTGGTTTCTGGAGCATGTTTGACTCCCCTGATGTGAACTGTGTGAACAGTGTTAATGAGGAATGAGCACACATTCGAACAGAGTATGTGAACTCTGTAATAAACAGAGTTTATTTTAAAATTTCTTTGTTATCTTTATATCATGAAACTCTTTGTCAGAGAGGCAAAAGTTATAAAGTAGACAATATTCTCTTCTTATGAATTCTTCTTTTGATCCTGTCGCCATATTGTATTCCCAAATCTCCTCCTTCATGTTCTCCCCAATCCATTTTCTGATAACCACAAGACCCAGCTTTCCCTAACAAATAACCTTCAAGTTTTATTTGACATACTACTCCATCATGAAGATAAAGTATTACACAGAACTTGCACTTTTAGTTATATGACCTTAAGACTAAAAGCCAAAGACCTTTTCCTTCAGATTCTGAAAAGTTAAAAAGAATATGAGTCTAACAGAATTTTGACATTTTTTTCTGAATATACAAAATTAATTTTGAGATGTACATATCTATAAAAGATGAGAATACACTTTTTGTTTATTTCTATGAGCTGAATTAAGTTATAAAAACTTCTGCCTTTTTAGCTACTTCAATATATACAAGCTTTGGACAAAATTCCTCTCTTACAACTGTCCTGATGGCCTGCAGCGCACCGACCACCACACACAGAGAGCACACACAGGCCTAACTCAGGCAAGCCACGTGTCCCAGAGGGACAGCTCATTAGCAGACATTTGAATCTTACGTGTAGATGTGTCCCATCTTGTGCAGGAGGTATACCTAACCTGTCTGTATTACCTTCTACCAGGTCTATATACCTGTAAGGAAACACTAACATGTCTCAAGTACCCCTGTCCCATGCTTTAAAAATTCAAGGACTTTTAACTGGTTATTTGTGGCTTTCAGCTCCAAATTCAGCTTGCATATTGTCTTCTGTATCCCATGGACTGAAAGCCTACAATCTAGGTGGCTTTTTCCCTCTTTTTATACTTTTTATGGTTTGTCCAAGTCTCAACTGGGGGTGATTTTGCCTCTCAAGGGACATTTGGCAATGTCAGGAGACATTTTTGATTGTCACGATGAAAAAATTATTTCCATCTTTGGAAAAAATATTCTAAAAATACTAAAAAGAATTCTATATTAATTAATAGCTGACACCTTAAACTTTAGAATGAAAGACTGTTTTGTCTTGAAACAAAAGAATTACCTTAAAATTCAAATTGTATTACCCCAAAGTGCTTGGTCTTTACTGAAGATTCTAGAAAGTTCTAGAAACTCTTAGTTTGTAAATTTAATTCTGCTTCACATATTGTTTAAAGTAATGGTTTTCAAACCAGTTCCTCCCAGTAGCCTGGCATTTCCAGGAGTTTTTATTTTTGTTTTTGTTTTTTCAGGGATGCAAGAGCCAGGAGAGAAGTGATGGGATAGCTTAGGGGTATGGGCTCTGGTCTCCATTCCAAATACTACAGTGTTAACAAGTATGCCTGTGGGATTTGATACTCTGATTGTTAGGAAGGATAACTTTGATCAGTTACCTCTGAATCATATCTGAGTAGCAAATTTTGTTTAAATTTGCTATCAAATCCCTTAAGCTTCAGTTATATTGTGTATTATACAACAGATACATTCTTAGAAAACTCCATATAAACTTAATTGGATTGAATTACATTTTAAATGGGCTATGAGAGTTCACTTGAGTGTTAAGTTCTCAATATTTAAAATGACTTGTAAACTACATTGTCAAAAGATCTTAAAAGTGGATGAATCAGAAAGATAACCAGGCGTTTATGAACCTCCTGACAGAAGTTCACACACAGTCCACAAATCAGAATGTGGAAAAAACTGATCTTGAGTCCAGTCAAGGCTTAGATCTAACCACCACTATACAAGACACACAAAGAACAGAGACATATTAAATGGCACCTCAGGAATGGGATTAGCAAGATCCAGACTGTGGGAAACACCGCAGAACACAAGCTCTCTTCCACAAAGGACTGCAAAGGGGGAGGGCGGGGAGAGAAGGGGAGAGAGGGAGAGGCAGAGGGAGGGAGGAGAAATCTGTGTGTGTGAAAGAGCTATCATAATGCAAAACCCTCAGTGGATCCATATTCAAACAAACTGTAGAACAACAACTGAAAGGCCATTGAGCAAATGTGAAATGTGCACACTAATTATACATCTGATGATCATCAAGGAATTTTTGCTAATTTTTGGAATGTGATAATAATAGTACTATGGTTATGGTTTTTGAAGGTGTTTAAGATAAAAGCACTGAAATTTTCATAGATGAAATAACAGGGTACCTGGGATTTGCTTCAAAATAACCTGGGGGCAGATGGGTAGGCCCAGATGGTATGAGAGGCAATTGCTGACAACCAGGCTGGGTGGTGGAGATGCGGTGCTTATTACACCATGACGCTCTTTTTATTTTTAAATTTTTAGAGAAAGTGCTACTATGCCTAGAAGATTGAGGTTTTAAAGAAATACCTAGAATAGAGATTCTAATTTTCTGGGGAATGGACACTGCTCAGTAGCTGTCAACTTGGGGTTACAGCCTACTGCTCTCTCCTGAATATACATTTCTTTGGCTTATTTAGCTAAGATTTTTTTTCCCCCTTTTTAGGGCTATTGATCTTTTTCAGATGTTTGGAATAACTTACTGCATGTTACTTTGCCTTTATCAACTATGCCCTTGGAACTTGATACTCTGATTGTGAAAGGATATATTTGACCTGTACCTTGGAATCAAGTCTGAATGACAAGTTTTAGGATAAAAATTGCTTTAAAAATTTAAGCTTCAATTATACTTTGTACTATAATACATCCAATACATTCTTGGAAAGCTTCACTTAACTTAATTGAATTACATATTAAATATGTCACGAGTGTTCACTATTTAAATCAAACTATAGGTAGCTCTTTCATAAAGTAACTGATAACTCTGGTATATTTGTAAATAGATAAAATTTGTGCTAATGTCCTTCAATGAATTTTTTATGGTGTTCTAATATTTAACATATGATGGAAGACAAAAGATTTAATCTGAGGCAGGAAAGCTATTTATTATACCAATGTCTCTTTTTTCTCCTGAATGAGAAGATATGGAAAATAGGAATGTAGGAAGGAATATAAAAGTAATTTAAATATAGCATTTCAAATAGCTTTTTACTGCTATTATGTTGATATAAAAGTAAATATTGACTTTAGTATTATTTTTTTCTTTTCATTTCCAGGGCCAAGGATTGAACTCAGGACCTTGCATGTGCTGGGCAAGTGCTCTGCCACTGAGCTAAATCCCCAACCCTGACTTTATTTTTTATGGCATGGCAAATTTATCAACTCAGAAAGTTACAAAAACTCAGAATATTTCAAGTCTATTCCTAAAAGTGTTTTAAAATACAAATTTATAAGAAAAATTATGAATTTCATTTTTATCATGAGCAGAAGGTTTGACTGAAGGCAACCAGAAAGCCAAGCAAGACATGCTTTTATGGGCAGCCACCTCTGGGTTTGTATCCTGGACAGTCACACTCTCTGGCGTATCTTACCAGTTTAGTGTGCCTCTGACAATGATACTAGTTCACAGAGGACCGTGAGAAGAGAGGTGATAACAGGAAAAGTAAATGGAGATGAAAGTTAATACAGGTGTCCCCCTGGGCAGGTTTTGGAGCGTATGAACATCATCAACCGGAGACAGTAAAACGTCACACAGTTTACAAAGTAAAGCAGGAAAAGAAGGAAGGAGAAAAAATTAGATTTAGAAGCAAACTTCAGGCAACTTAAAGTAACATCTAAGGGACGATGAACTCTTAACAGACACAGAGTCAGGAAGTCTGTGTGGGATGGGCCACGTGGTGATTCACCGATTGTCAGTCAGTGTGTTCTTGGCACTGTTGACAACCCTAAAAATGAACTGGATTTACATATTCCAAAGGGGAAGCTAAGTTTGGCCGTTTCAAGTACCCAAGAGGATCAGGAAATACCTAAAATGATAAGATTGAATGTCACTGATAACAGGCGAGACACACGAAGGCATTTCCCGTGTCACTCACATGCTTCCACGGGATGCCCTCCCGCTGATACTCCTCTTGTTCCTGCTTCAGAACCAGCTGGATAAATAGCTGCTGCAGTTTCTCATTGCAGTAATTGATGCAGAACTGTTCAAAGCTACATGCAAAAGAGTAAATTAAGTTTACATAAATAAAAAATAAGCAATAGGGTTGGGGTTCCCACTGCCCTTTTTGTGCTTAGGAATTGAACCCAGGGACACTTAACCACTGAGCCACATCCCCAGCCCTTTATATATTATCATTTACAGACAGGGTCTCATTTAGTTGCTGAGGCTGGCTTTGAATTCATGATCCTCCCAAGCCACTGGGATTAGCAATAGGGTTTTAAGCACCTCCTGCAGCTCACCTGTTGTTGTCAAAGATTTCAAAGCCATAGATATCCAACACACCAATAACAGTGTTTTTCCCATGAATTGTGGTGTCATAGTTCTTGACCTCAATGATATCATTAATGCGAGTAACGATCCAACAAAAAAGGCGCTCATATATTGCCTGGGAAGAAGATAACATTGTAAATTTTTTTGCCCATTTGGGGGTGAGTCTTCTGGATTTGTGATTTCCTATCCACCTTCTCCTTACTGTTTAACATAGCTGTTATTAGACTAAGCAGAACAATAAAACATGTAGATCATATGTTACCAAATAAACTACATGATGTTTGCCAAAATAAAGTGAGTGATCTGGATTTTCAAAAGGTGATCGATTAGCCATTGGATGTTTTCCAGCGATGTTCCCCAGGCATGTTCCTGCGTCCCACTGTGCCAGTGATGGGCCTGCCCCCTTGTGTAAGTCACTCTTTATCAATTAACATCATAGTTGGTGTCAATTTCATCAATTATGAGAAGCTGGGAACAAACGAGTTAATATCTATACTTCAATATCTATTCTCCGCTAAAGTTCTGTGAATTCTAAAAACTATATAAATACTGATTTATAAGGCTCAATAAGGATCTGAGACAAAAGGCCAATGTTTGAAATTCCTTGAGAATCAAGTCCATGCTGAGGGTGTGGCTCAGTGGTGGAGGCTTGCCCAGCATGCATGAAGCCCTGATTCACCCCCAGCATGACACACACACACACAGGTCAAATACACATCTATTGTACAAGGATATACATACTCCAAAGACACACCTGGAGAAAGGTGTCACATGCAGCACACATCCTCAGTCTGACATGCTGGACATGTTTCTGATGTACCCCCAGTCAGCCACTCTTCCCCCGACTTCACTTCTCCTGTTCTTTCCAATACACTGGGGTCTTCACTGATGTCCTGCTCCTCCACTAACATAGCTCATCAAGGACCCAGAGCACCTCTGTGCAGACTTCTGTGTGGACATCTGAGATTCTCTATGTCACTCAACCTAGGTGCCCACTCCATTTTTTAAAATATTCTCCTGTCTGGGATTTGTGATAACACCCTTCCTTGATTTTCTTCCTGTTTCATTGGCTGACCTTCTAGGTGACCTCTGAGAGGGTTTGCTCCTCATCTAACCTCTAAAAGCTGGAGTTTTTCTTGGCCCTCTTCTCCCTCTAGTGCCCTCTGAGTTATCTCACCCAGTACTAAATACCACTGATATGATCTGACTCCCAAATGGTTACCTCCACCCAGACCCTGGAGAGTCTCTGAGCTCTGGACTCATGTGCTTGACTCTGCCTGACAATGACCCTGAGATATCTCACAGACACCTCAAACTCAGATCCTGTGGGGACTCTTGATGTTTTCACCTCCCCAAACTGTTCCTATCCTACTTGGAGCCATAAATAAGTGGCACCAGGCACTTAGAAATTAATCATTGATTCAATAAATGATTAATTTGCTGACTACTCATGATGTAGTTTTTTGAAGCCATAGGACTAAGCAAACAGAAATGGTCTCAGTCTCCTTGGAGCTTAGGGAGTAGGGTGAAGGGCAATTACTCTCTCTGTCTCTCTGTCTCACACACACACACACACACACACACACACACACACACACACGCGCGCTCACTCTCTCTCCCATCATACCATACTTAGGAGCAGTACTTGGCATTGGAAGGGAATTTGATCTATCTGGTATTCAGGAAGGCCAGGGAAGGCGTCTCTGAGAAAGTGATGTGTGAGCAGAGGTCAGAAGGATAAGGAGAGAGAAAAGCAAGGCATGCTGGGGAAATAGCGTGTTCAGAGGCCCTGAGGCTGGAAGCAGAAGGGGATAAAGATCACCTGGGAGGCCCAGGAGAAGGCTGTGGTGCTGGAATGAGGAAAGGTGGCTGCAAGACAGTAATCGATGAGGTGGGAGGGGCTGGCTGGAGCAGACCTTGCCAAGGCATAGCCTTTCTTTCTTTTTTAAAATTTATTTTTATTGTTTTAATCAGAACTTTATAGTTATACATAGTAGTTGGGTTCATCTCAACAAACTCATACACACATGGAATTCAATTTTGGTTCATGATCCCCCATTTCCCTCCTGCCCTTCCTCCCCTTTCTTATTCTCCTTTCTCTACTAGACTTCCTTTGGCTTATCTATTTATTTATATTATATTCCATTGGTTCTTTCTATCTATGCATAAAGGTAAAGTCCCCTGTGGTGTATTTATATGTACACATTTTTTTTTTTTTTGTTCTGGGGATTGAACTCAGGACCTTGTATATGTGAGGCAAGCACTCTACCAACTGAGCTGTATCCCCAGCCCTCACATAACATGATTTTTAAATAATTCATTCTGCACTGCCTCCCCTTACCCATCCCTCCACTCTGCCTTTTGATCTCCTTTTGAATTATTGGTCTCCCATAAGGCTCTATTCTTGGTTCCCTCATTCCCATGGTTGGTATGATTTTGCTTTTCTGGTGTGATGCTCACAGACACAGGGGTTCATTGAGACTACGATGGTCAGAAAGTCTTATCATGGTTTCTAAAAGCCTTTGCCTGCTGTCAAGAGGTGTCTGAATACATCCTTGCTGGATTTCACTCATGCTGCAGCTGCGATCCCCCCGGGTCTACAGCGTCTTGGTGAAACCTCACCTTGGCAAAAGCATCTCGGCCGTAGCAAGCTTCTTGTTCTGTGTGCTGCTTGTCGATGATGTCACGGCCTGTGGCCACTGTCCTGTAGAGAAGGGCTTTCTCAACCATGTCTGTCTTAGTAGAGAGCAATTCTGCTATGATAGACACAACCTTGGTGTTCTCGATGAGAGGTGTGTCACCGTCCACTACAAATTTTAAATTTCCCTATATCGGAAATGAAAAGAAGAATAATAATATTTTAGAACCTCATTTCCAGTGAGGTTCTAAAATATTATGTCAGGGATATATTTGCCAATTTAAAATACAATTCAAGTGTCCTTGTTTGCACCCATCTTCCCAAGATGGGTGTGATTCTGTTTGAATCTTCTGGGTTTTGAACCCGTTACATCCATGATATTGGCTGCTACTCTGAATTCTGCAACATCAAGGATAGAGGACTAGAAATGAAAATGAAAAGCCCAGCACTTTGTCTGTTTTCTCCCTCTTCTCCAGAAACTTGTACAACTTTTTGTTTTCAGCTTATTTTTTTATAGCAGTCCTATATTTTTATGCAGTCAAATTTATGAGTCTTTTGCCAAGAGTTTTTCTTTCTTTGGTGTCCATACTTAGACCATTCCTTTCCAAAGAGTTTATGAATACTTAATATTTTCTTCTAATACTCTATTTTCTTTCATTTAAACTTTCAATCTACTGGGAATTTATTTTGGCATGTATTGTAAGGTAAGACTCTAACTTTACTTTTTCAGATGGTTAGTGCCCCAACACCATTTCTTGGGTTGTCTAGTTTTTCTCTCCTGACTTGAAATGTGTGTGAGTGTGTGTGTGTGTGTGTGTGTGTGTATAAAGTTTGCTCAAGTGTTTGAATATATTTATGTTCCACTCATTAAATAAACAATAAATATAACCAACAACCAAGTGTCTAGCATATCAACTGATCTGTTGATTAACTTGTTGATCTGGTGTTAAATTTTTATAACAAGTTTTAACACATTATAGCATTTACTATCACTTTAACTTTGACAGAATTCATTTTGTCTTCTTTCCTTCCTTCTCCTACTCTCTATTCTTCTTTAATACATTTTATTTGGTCTTCTTACAGGTTTATTGGTCCAGGTAAACTCTACGATCATGAAATCAAGTTAAGAACAAAATAAGGTTCCTGTCTGGATTCTGAGAAGGGCCATTGGATTCTATTCAGAAACTAACTCGTAAGATACTGCAGTCTTCCTAGACAGGAATATTTATTTATTGCTTATAATGCCTTGTAACATTTTTCATATGGATTCTTCCTCCTCCTTCTCCTCGTTCTGTTTCTTTAGGTTTTAAGCTTTAATACTATCAATTATAATTGTAAAAGTATATTAGGAGCTAGGGACCTCATAGTCACCAAATGGCAAGGCCTTTCTTTCTTTCTTTTTTTTTAATTCCATGTACTTCTGACTCAGAGTTAAGTCTTGCTATACTGAAGAGAAAGGTGATATGTCAAGAGCTTTGTAATGTTTTGAACAACTAATTAAAAAAAAGAGAGAGAAAAAAAACAAAGTTTGATCAAGCAAGCATATGTGACTTAGATATGCATGCAAAAAACATATATTGGATCTGTTTGTTAAATGACATTTTCTTATTGGTTTGCATTAAGAAATATGAGATGAAGTTTCTTAGAAAAATAATGTTAAAAATGAAAATAAAAATAATTTTAAAATAATATTAAAAATAACAAAATATTATTAAAATAATATTTAAAATAATATTTAAAATAATATTAAAAAACAATAAAATCACATGGCACAAAAAAAAGAAGAGAAAGGTAATTTTTGTTCCAGATTTGTATCTGTGTCATCCTTCATGTAGTGTAAGGTTGCATGTTCATAAAGTTTCCAACACTTCCAATCATATTAGGGATAGTGAAAGAAACCCAGCACGTGGTTCTTCACTTCTCCTGGGTTTGGGGAGCTATAGTGGAAAACCCCTGGACCACAGGTGTGTGGCAGTGGCTTGTGCTTTTGACCCTGTGAGGAGCTGGCTGCCCCTTTGAGGCCGTACCACCCCTATAAAATGAGATGACTGAAATCCAGTACTGATCATCCACGATCTTATGTTTCAAACGCTATTAGAAATTTACACTATTAGTAGTCACATTATTGTTGGAGTTTTTTCTCCTCAAAATTAACTAGTTCAAGGCTTGACAATACCAATGAGACAATGAACTGAAGTCATAGTTTCAAAACCCACAGTGGTTTGGAAAATCCCTCATAATATTATAAAACAATAGTGAGAACCACCGATTAATTTCTTCAAAATGTGAGCCAAGTTTTCTTTAAATAAATTGTTTTTGAAATCCACAGAGAAAAAAAACAAAATTTTCTTAAAGAGTATCCTGTCTCCACAGGGAGCCAAAACATTCTGAGAGGTGAACCCCACTCCAAGTACACACTCCCACTCACCAAGTGAAGAATAGTAGCCAGAATTTTATATACTGTTTGAATCTCCTCGGGTTTGAAGCCAATTACTTTCATGGCATCAGCTACAACTTTGAATTCTGCAGCATCATTGATAGAGGACTAGAAATGAAAATGGAAAGCTTAAGTCAAGACATTTCACATTAGCATTAAAATCTAACAATTTTGAAACTAAGTTCAAGTTTAGCCATGGTCTTGATGTCTTTGTAGTAAATCACTCGAGATGATGAGTATCCAGATAATAAAAGTATTTCAGGGATGGGAACATCATTCAGCACATTTACAAGCCCACTTGGGTGTGATAGCCATCTACCTAATAAAAGCACTGTGCACTTTTCTGGAAGCTTCAGTCCTGAGTTGGGATCAGACGTACTGATTAGCACTCCTGATCTGTGAGGGCCAAGGCATGGAATGCAAGATCACAAATGGAAATGCTGAATGTGGGAACTTTCAAAATATATGATTGGCTATTATCATCTGTGGCTCTTTGCTGCATAGTTTATCTCCCTCTCTTGCATAATCAGTCTTTTTATTTCCCAGATGAGGAAAGCAGGCCCCCAAGAGCAAAGCAGCCTGTCTCACTCGGCAAGCTGTGAAATAGACTGGGACTGCTTCACTTTTTCGCTCACTTGGAAATAAGTCAGATCTTCTAAATGCTCAGGGGAGTTCGAGGATGAATCACCTGCCCTTAAGGAGCCATGGCTATGAATTCAGGTTGTGAATTCAACAGAACTTCATAATAAAGCAATGGTTAACTGCCTATGTTACAACTTTTCCCAAAGCAGCCATTATAGACTTATCCTTTTCTTGTGAGTTGCTGCTCTTGCCTGGACACAGAGACCCAGCATGATGCTCACCTGATGAGGGGACCTCTCTGCTGAGGAACACATGCTCCTCTGGTATCCAGGAGATAATCAAGCAAGAGGTTGCACCTACTAATTTTTTTTTATAACCTTAGGAAAGATAATTAACCTCACTGAGTCTCAATTTTTGTCATGGTTAAAATGGACATAGTATATTTATTTTAGTATTAATGTGAAAATGAAATGAGAATTTGTATAAGGTACCTCCCTAGTTAATAGCACATAAAGACACACAAATATCAGATAATACTATTATTGTAAACCACAACAATGTTGAAATTGCAAAGCAACTGGAGAAAAGTTCTAAAAGTGTGGGGAACTGCTTACTGTTTCCCCAACACCCCTTCCACCCGACTTGTTTCTTACTAACAGAACATTTGTTTACTCCTCTCCAAGCACACAACTGGCCTGCACCTCACCTCATGGGTACATCTCCACTGGTCTAAACTAATTATGGGGCTCTTGCTTCCCCTGCCAATCACCTGGTTAGCCACAGGCATGTGATGCTATTTTTGATCAATAAGAAGCGAGGGAGGGAGAGAGGGAGAGAGGAAAAAAGAGAATGAATAGAGACAGATAGATATGTGCGTGAAGTGAGTGTTCCAGGGAGAATTATCCCAGTTTATAAAGGGATATAATGCCAGGAATATTTCTTTTGCCTCTGACTCCTAGAATTTTGAGACTATGAGGAAAACCAGACTAAGAGGACAAGATAGTCCCCTGAGTAGAGCAAAGCTGTAAGTTAGTAAGACAAACAAATAAACAAACAAACAAACAAACAAAACCACCTGGGTTCCTAACAATATGTGGAGGCAACAACCATTTCTGGAAGTGCCCTGTCTGGAGGCTTCTTGTCTTGTAAGATAAGTAAGCAACCCATGGTATCTTAATTGTGTAATGAGTTCTACATCTTAAGACTAGTTAAAAATATGTAAAGCAATATTTCTAGTTTAAATTAACATTAATTTATATTTGTCTACATAGGAAAACAATAAGGATTACACTGTAATATAATAAAAACAAGTTTACTTAATCAGGACTTCTTGTGTGATTTCATTTCTAAGCATGCACACAAACCCTGATCAATTATTATTATGTCTGGATGGTAAGATTTAAGCATATTTTTGCTTCCTTTTGGTCCAACTTTATTTTAGGTTTTGACTCAGTTGTTTTTTTTTTTTTTTAATTTTTTATTGTTGGTGACTCAGTTGTTTTTGTTAGAGGGGAATCGGGGGTGGGGGAGGGAAAGTAGATACAGAACACTTATCAATAAAAGGGAATGTAAGCTGAATTTAACTTAGAAAAAGGTCTAAATATTAACTTAATACTTTCTTTCTTGTGGGGGCTCTACTTGGGCCAAAAGTAATTTGGTTAATAAGACAATCTTACTGAAAAAGAATGTTTCCGCCACTGGCTTTCTAAGTGTTGATTTTATAATCCTCTCTACATATTCAAGTACCTCTGATGATTCTCAGAAAGGTGGAGTGTTGCCCTCTATTGTTCTATTTTCAATTAAATTTCAGCCAAATATTTCTGCTCTGTGAAAAGTTGGTGTTATCTAAATGTCCAATAATGGAAAATTAATTGCAAAAACGTATTATTTATTTTTATGCCTAGTGATAAAAATGGAGCTAAACCAGTAGTGAAAGTATAATTAGCTGAAGGTAAATAATAAAAAAAAATTAAAGACATATATTCTACAGCTTAGATCCTTTTTTAAGTTTATTTTTCATCCAATGAGAAAAGCAATGCATCTTTCATTAAAGTTTAAAATGTTGAAGAGTAGAACACAAATATCCATAATATCACCCTTCCTGAATAAACAGTTAAAAAATGATCTATGTCCTCCAGATCTTTATTTAATGCATTTATTTACTTTTCCTCCTGCAAAACAGAATAATGTAATTATTGCTTATAACCTACCACCAACAAACTGCTGTATTATCACCAATAGTTGTAAAACGACTAGCACAAAGTTAATTAGAAATAAAAGAGCAAAAATGTACGTGCACATGTGTATGTGAGTGTTTGCACGCAAAGGGAGGGGAAAATGGATTAATTTTGAAAGCTGAATACACAGAAATGCCCCATGGGCCAAAAAACTATTTCTAGGATACATGGAAATCAGTATCTGGGGGAAAAAACAGTGATTGGAGAATCAGAGTTCTTTTTAATTTTGTTTTGTTTTACTAACTTGCCTTTGGCCAAATCATATGAAATCTTAGAAGGCAGACTTCCTTGTTCTACTAATATCTTTATAGTAGCAAAATATTGGAATAGGATTAAAAACATTGAACACAGAAAGAACCTTCTTTTCTGCTAGATGGTGACAAAATATAGGGATGGATTATTTAACAGAGTTGTTGACTATAATGTAGTGTGTCTCTGTGTCTGAGAGTTTAAAAAATAGAAGAGAATTAGAAGAAATGTGCATTTGCCTAGAGGCAGCAGCCTCAGTCAGATGAATAGCTAATGTTCCTTCGGATTGTCTGATTCTGTATGTGAACAACCTTGAAGAAGAAATTCCCACCTTTAACTGAGCTCCAACATGGATATAGTTGTAGGATGAAAGGGATTTCTGCAGGTGTAGAGAGCGCAGTATCTGCTCTGACCCTCCTTGGAGTAGCTGAAAAACATTTCATTAGAAATAAATTGGTAAGATATATATGGAGGCAAATATATCAAATACCCTACATTTATGTCAATCTGGGGGATTTTGGCTTTGAAGAGTTTTTAAAAGTTGTTTGGGCTTTTTGCTTCTTTTTACTTGAGGGTAAATAGCTTCAGTGTCATAAGTTAAGCAGAATGTCATATGATACAGGACAAAAGGTTTGAGTAGGATTATCTGGAAAACATCACCCTGGCCCTGAGGGGGTCACTTGTTTAGCATCCTCATTACAGAGGGATAGAGCTGTGCCTCTGAATCTGGAGAAAGTCAACACTGCCGCAGAGCGAAGAGGCATCGCAGGTGCTCAGTGTGGAGGCACACCCGCGAGCAGACTGCTTTTCTTCACCTGTTACCTTCTGCAGGGAAGGGGTAACGACTCAGTGTTGGATGAAGACACATTTTAGCACCTTCATTCAAGGGGGAAAACACTGGGAAAAAGTTTTGAGTGCTTGAAATTAACAACTTTTCTGCATGTGGTAGAAAAACAGTTCACTCAAGACACAGCCAATTGTCAACAAGAACTGATACAAAATCAACAGCCCTTTTATAGAGAACATGCCTTTGGTGAGGCATTGTGTTTAAATTCTCTGTTGAACTGTATGCTTTGGTTTACTTAAAAGGGATAACTATCAGACTTTGAAAACTGAGTTTTTATGCAAACACCCCAGAACTTGCATGAGTGAGTGAGGGTTGTCTACCACAGCAGTTACCAGACCCTATGGGACACTGTGCTTGACTGCACAGTGGTCCTTCAATCACCTGCACAGACAGCTTATGCATGGAAAGCAATCTCAATTGATTCAGAGCTTTACTTCTTAAAAATCTAAATTAATATTGCTTAATTTGATCACTATTTATTAGCCTTGGTTTAGATCACTTTGGGCTTTAAAAAATTATAATGATGCATCAAACTTGGTTTCTTAATGCAGATTCCATAGCACAAGGGACAGTTAAAAGATTCTGGTCTAGACTCTAACAGTATTCCCAAAAGAATTGTTCAGTTTTGTTTCCCCTAAGCTTTGATGGGATAAAGACAATTCTCCCTTGAATTTATAAAGCCTGGTTATTTTTTTTAAAATAAATCATATTGCTTTAGACTCTCTTTATAAAAGCAAAATAAACTGAATTTGCATTTCCATCTCTGGAACTCGAAAATATAGAAACAAGAGCTTCAAATAAAAATAAAGCCAAATTAATTTAGCATATTGAGAATTGACCATACCAAAAACTTTCATGGTCATTACACCACTCTCTGCACTGCAAAGAGATGCAGGTGATGCTCAATCTAGTTCATCTGATTGGTAACCACCTTCCAGCCCTCACAAATGGTCATGCTAATTAAATCTCTTATGAAGCATGTGGAGTAAGGTGTGTGCACATGTGTACACATCTGTAATGTGTGTGGGCCAATGGGCACAAGAGAGGGATGGGACAGTGGAGAGTCCAATACAAAAAAACAATTTCTGGAGCAGCTGGGTAAATGATCAATTCTCTGCCCAACAGGAGATCACTAACCTGATAGAAAGAGTGAAAGCTTCTTTCTCCTGGCTGCTGCACAATCACTCGAGACTAAGGAAAAACACATTCAAATGGTTAAACTCAAAATGTGCCCATAAAATAAAATGGAAGCCACTTTCTTAAGGAATCTTGTGTCTCCAGTGCATTTCAATGTCCTAGGACAAGGAATAGTTCTCACCTAAGACTAGATCTTCCCTGTTTCTCAGGCATTTTTTTTTAAATAATTCTTAAAACAGAGGTTCCTAAAACTTTCTGAGCAATGAAGCTATTTTGCTTTTTCTTTTAAACCCGGAGCCTAAAGATAGTATTTTGTGAGGGTTGGAGATTGGAAGTGGGGAGAATAGAAAGGAATGCTTAGGGAGGACTATTCTCAACATTCCCTTCCCCAGGGTCTGCTGGCATTTTAAAGAGCAAGGCTGTATATCCTGTAATAAAACCAGTTGCGCAAGATCAGTCCCTAGGGACTCCTGCCTTAGATGGTTCCAGAAAGACTGCTGTTAGGATAGGGCTCAAAATGTGTGTTCGTCCAGTCTGAAGGGATTCTTTTGATTAAACATGTGCGTAAAGCCATGAAATATTTTGTAAAAAGAAGACTGATAACACTTGGCATTTCCCGTCCTTTTTTAACAGGCTCTGATAAAACACTCATTTCCTTAACACTCTGACCTCAATATAACAAAAATAAAGATTATGCTGCATTATACTGCCCTAAAAGAAGCTACAGAGTAAATGGGACGGGAAATCCTTAACTGAGAAGGCATGTCCTCTTAGGTCAGAGCACAACTTAAGGTGGAGACTCAGCTCTATTAAGTACAAGCTTAACAGTGAATCTTGGGGATGCATGTGCTCCTGCAGTCAGACCCAGAGATGATCAAGATTAGTTAGGACATGACTGTTCTGCCAGTCCCAAGAGGAAAGTTTTAATTGGAATCTCCTAAAAATTGGGCCTAACATTTGCTTAGGCAGATAAAACATATTCTAAGTTTTCACTGACCAAATACAGTATGCTTTATAATTATGATGTAAGATAGCAGAGTACATATATGATACTACAAAGCAGTGAACAAACAGAAACTAAGAAGAAAAGGAAATTTCAAATTAATTAAAAAGAACATGGATGGAAGAGGGTGATGGATAAAGACTAGAACTGACGAGTCCTAGTTGGTTTTTGGTTAAATCTGACCCAGAAGTTTGTGTTCACTCTCTTTCAATCCCCTCACATATGGCCCTTCTCCCAAAATCTGTATCTACCAAATCCATAAATTTTTCCAACTTGGTATTACAAGTGCTAATAAGAAAACACAAAAGGAGAATCTTATCACACAAAGCTAACTTGAGGAGGGAGAAAAGGATTAAAAGCTACTTTAAAGCTAAAAAGTTAAATTCTATTAATAGAATCAAGTATTTAAAAAAAACTAGCATTTATAAACATTATCCTCAGAAATTAGCACACTTTACCTTCTCCAATAAGTAGTTGTTGATATGCCCACCAATAGGGTCTCCTTTGAAATCAAAGTTGATATCCATGTATTTTCCAAACCTGCTTGAGTTGTCATTACGGTTGGTTTTGGCATTTCCAAAAGCTTCCAAAACACAGTTGGACTTAAGCAGCATATTCTTCACTCTTTAACACAGATAAGTGAAAGTCATTATAAAAAGTTGCAGAGACTAGGACTTTTAAAAAATTGGACTTTGCTAAAACATTCACATATTTATTGTAAATATGCAAATATTTATAGATTGTAGCACTGTTTGCAAATTAAGAAAACAAAAACAACTTAAATGTGCACTAAGGGGGCAGATAAAATACATTTTTGTTTCCCAATATAATGAAATGCTACATAGATGTTAAAAAATAAAGAAGTACATCAACATTATACTGATTCAGAAAGGTATCCAGAAATGTACTAATGGATGTGAAATCAAACTGAAAAATAATATGTATTGCAGGACCTGAGTGTCTATGTATGCACGCACAACCAGGGAATGTCTGTGCACACAAACATGTGTTAGTAAACCTCTATAGATCTGGAGGGAAGAGCACATGCCACTATGTGATCTAGGCAAGAGGTTGATAGGATAGACAAGGGGAGATTTCAGGGAACTTTTACCTTCAACTTAGTTCAATAATTTTTTTTTAAAAAGAGTATGTTTTATTTCTGTAAGGAAAAAATTTTAGAAAGTATGTTCTGAAAAGAAAAAGAATAGATGATACAGTAGAGGAAAAAAAATTAAAAGTATTTGCTTATCAAGCCACTAGATTAGTGACATTTAAAAGACATTTTTTTTAGTTGTTGATCAACCTTTAATTAATTTATTTATACATGGTGCTGAGAATTGAACCCAGTGCCTCACACATACTAGGCAAGCGCTCTACCACTGAGCTACAACCGCAGCCCCAAATAGTGACATTTTATTGTACTTAGTTATACCCAATAAATTTGATCTTTACTAATTTAGAAATTGTTCATTATTTTGTTTGAAGCTGTGTGAAATCTCTCCTTTGTATCAGTCGTGGAATGCATTTTTCACTCAATACTAACTTTTTATAGAGTAGTCTTTCCCAATGGATATATTTTAACTTCATGCTAGTCCTTATGTCTTGTTTTTACTTCTCTGACAAAATCCCTCTCATACAGGCATACCTGCAGAAAAGCAGCCTCTGAAACAGCCCAATGGAACACATCCATTGTTCTTCCCACGAATACCACAAGTGACCCTTGGGCCTTATCACCTCATAAATTAAAGTAAACTTTTAAAATGTGTGTGGAAACTTCTTGCTCAAAAAGGAAACTATAAAACTATGGTAAGATATGCTTGTGAAAGACTAGTAAGTGTTTACATGCCTTACTCTACTCCAAGAAATAAGATTAATTTCATTCTCAGCTAGTTATTCTCCTGAGCTCCTAAGGAAATGAGGAAACCTTGATCAAATCCTCATCTTTGTTAGACTACAAAGTCAGAGTCAGAAGTGGGATATGGCACAATTAAGCGCTAACCCATGTAGGGCCACTGAGTCTATATTTTCCTTTTCATGTCAGCCCAGTTCCTTGTCTTCCTCATCAGAAAAATGACGACTGTGACACCTAGACGGGGGATGTGACTTCAGGAAATTAACAACCTCCTTTAAGGCTGCTGCCCATTAGGAAAAGATTCTTTTTCTCTTCCAAAATGCTGCACCACATAAGAAAGTCAAGTAATTTTGCTTCATAATCACACCTTTTAAAAGCCCATCCATTCATTCCTCGAATGTTTGCTGAACAAACACCGTATGTCAGCTGTGCAGACCAGCTGTATTGCTCATCGCAGCGTGAGCAGTAGCGTGGCTCAGCATCAGCCCCTCTCAGGGGTGAACCTTACTTAGAACTTCCAACATGGGCAGGTTCTGGCTGCAGCAATGATGGGAAGGCACAGATAGGCCTTCCAGACCAGCTTCACTCAGAACACAGTTTAAAAATAAAACAAACAAGGAACAAGGAACTTGCGACAGTTTGGACAATAAAGTACAGAGTACTTTATAATATACTAGAGTACATTATAACAGCTCTGTTGACTGCATGTAAGGCAGCAGTTATACTCTCAACTGTTTCAGAGTAATAAAAAAAGAAAAAATATATATTTATATATAAAATATTTACTAGAATAGTATTTTTCTACTAAAAATAAATCTAGAAATAGAGTAACATAAATAGAATTAGAGAGAGATGATATGCAATATGAGAATCAAAGCAGTTTAATTATCAAAAAAAGGTTTGACACCTGCCCGTTTAGGCCCTGCCAATCTGTAAAGAGGATGGGGCTCCCGCATTACCCCCTGGCTGTCCGTCAGGCCTTACCTTTCCACCTCTGCTCTCTGACTGGGGTTGGTGATGGCCGCAATGTACTGCATGATGTACTTACTGGCTTCTGTTTTACCAGCTCCACTTTCCCCTGGAGGAAAGAATTATGCAAGACTTAACATCTTAATTTAAACCAAGATTAAACTAGTTTTCAATAGAATAATTTTAAATTTTGATGTTATTCACTTAAGATCCCTCTTGCTGCAGAGAGTCCTTCCATTTTCCAAGTTATCTTGCCCTGTATTGGCTCTAAGAGATATGAATATGTTGGGGGAGGGGAACTATTATAGAAGTAAAATAATGAATAGACTGAAGATCAAGGGTAAATTATGGTAAACCATTCTTTACACTAAGTCTTATTTTGAGTCTTAATTTTAGACAATGACTTCTAAAACTAGCAGAAATGAAGCAAGGTTATGATTCAAAGAGTGGCCAGAGCTAAATTTGTGTAATGTATTTTCAATGATGGAATTTCATTTAACTTAAAGGGGATAAATATAGGGTGTTCATTTATATATTTATTTATTTTGGATTGAACACAGGGGTGCTTAACACTGAACCACATCCCCAACCCTTTTAAAATATTTTATTTAGCGATAGGGTCTCACTGAGTTGATTAGGAATATAATTCTTTTTTAAAACTAAAGTTAGAGCTGGGTGTCATGGCGCATGCCCATAGTCCTGCTACTCAGGGAAGATTGCCTGAGCTCAGAAGTTTGAGGCTAGCTTGGCAACATAGTGAGACTTACTTTCTTAAAAAAAAAAAATTAGGAGTAAATGTAGTGAAGAAAAACCCTACCAAACTCCAGAAACAAGGTATCACAGAAAAAGCATGACACTCAGGATAATTGGTGGTGGAAGGAAGGGATCAATTTGGAAGTTCTATCTTATTTTTGACAATCAAAACAAAATAATGATCATAAGAGTGTTTTTAAAAGCATAAAACCACTAATAAACCTCACAAATGTGAGGTCTTATTAGCACTAACAGAAATTCCCAGAGGTGGAGAGAGGCTAACTTGGACTAGCCAAGAGATATCTCCTGGTTCTCATTTCACTACACAAGATGCCTTGAAGGGCCTGAGGTACTTAGGTACTCAGCTCCAGTTCCTGCATGTGGGGCAGTAGCCCAGGTCCCTCCTCAATGGGGGAGCTCCAAAGGCCTATTTTTGCCCCTGGGCCTCTGCATGTGCCACCACACCAGCTCCAAAGCAGCAATCTGACTTTGACTTTATGCTTCTGTTTGGAATCTCAGTATTTAATTTTCTTGGTTTCATTCTGTTACTATTTAAAATGTTTTGGTTACTTTTATCTGGTACTTACATGTGCTGGGGATAGGAGGGAGCATATTCCATGCTGGGTCAGTCTGCAAACCCACTGGAAGTATCACATAATTTTTTTTCTTTGAGATGGGTCTCCATTGCCCTGGCTGACCTTAAACTCCTAGGCTCAAGTGATCCTCCCCACCTCAGCTTCTAGAACCAGGACTAGCAGATGATCAGAAACGACATAAATAACTTGGTATTTAATGGTCATTACTCCCCCCCCCCGATAAAATTGCTTAGGTTTTTGCCTTAAAAGATTATTTCACTGGGGCTGAGGATGTAGCTCAGTGGTAGGGTGCTTGCCTGGCACATACAAAGCCCTGGGTTTGACTCTCAGTACCGTGTATATGTGTGTGTGTGTGTATGTGTATGTATGCGTGCGTGAACAGACACACATACATACACACACACACGTACACTCTCAGCAATTATGTGGATCCTTGTGTACCAAATAAATACATCTTGACCTTGGATGTACCAGGGACCCCTTCAAATACCTGATATCACAATACAGGTGTCTTTTGATCGCCTCTTCATAGCTTTGTAAGCAGCATCAGCAATAGCAAAAAGATGAGGGGGTCTCTCGTAGAGCTCGCGGCCTCGATAGTGCTCAATTGTGTCCCTCCCATAGATGTTCAGAGACTTGTAAGGATTCACAGAAACAACAACTTCGCCAATGAACGTATAGATGCGCCCCTTCTCAAATCTGTACGGGAGCAAAACAAAGGAAGACATAGCTATGATTATGTAGAAATGCTACTTCTTTCCTGAGTGTCTCTTATTTCTAGTCAAGTTCAAAGACCCCAGCAACAACTTCTGAACTGATGTGCCATTGATTCTGAGTTTGCTTTTAGAGACCATGTTTGAGGCTATTTCCTTCCGATGCCACCAAAAGAAAAGACCAGTAAGGATTAAAAATCAGCAAGAAAGAAGAATTTAACTTGTTGGAGGCCAAAGATTTACTGTTTCCAAAATATAGATGGCCAAGAAGAAAAAAGTAAAATCAGTAGAAGAAAATCTCAGAGTTCCAGGAGAAAAAGAAATAATGTTGAACCACTCAGCTACATTTTCAATTACAAAGAGGCCTGTCCAAGCACAAATATATTTCTTCTCTTACTTGAAACCTTGCTAAAATGTCAGGAAAGGAATAAAAACAGTAAAATCCATACCAGCATGGTAGAAGAGACACTTCTGTCTGGTATAAATAAAATTTATTTTTTTTAGTGACAGCCTAAAATCCCATGGTGTAGGTAAATCACAATCTAGTCAATGATTCTCCTTTCCTCCGGAAACTATGAACAGTACTGCAGAAATTACTGTGGACACATAATCTTACCAATCAGGGCTTTTATTTCTGTGGGAAACAGTCTAAGGAATGGGACAGCTGGTTGAAAGATACGTGTATTTTAAAAGTAAAATACACATATTGCAACTCCCCCTCCCCCCCCAAATACAAAGGTTGAAAAGCTATCCATATACGATTTTGTATGCATATGTGTACGTGAATATATTTGATGAGTATATGAGCATGGGAAAATATGGAAGAATATGTTGCTTCATTCATCCTTGGATGCACACAGTAGGGTGTACGGATAAAGGGATCTGATGAGGAAGGTGACGTGGTTGGGTGGGAGGAGGACATACAACAAAGGAAAAGAGTGAAAACCCCATGACTGCAATTGTAAATATAGACACATGAATTTGCATGAAGAAAACACTTGAACATAAAACTTAGAAAACCTATAGATATCTGCTATTTACCTCACAATCCACACCCCCACACACATGTGAACCAGAGCTTGGCTGTTTCTACACAAGTGTTTGTCACCACACTCCGCCTGCTGGACAGAGGCACAGGTGGACACACGTGTTTGTCCTTCAGTATCCAGGGACACTGGCTCCAGTAACCCCAGAAGATACCAGAATTTGTGGATGCTCAAGTCCCTTATATAAAATTCCATAGTATTTGTGTAGAACCCACACTTTAACTCATCTCTTGGCTATTTGTAATATCTAATATGATGTAAATGCCATGTAAATAGTTGTAATACTATGTCGTCTAGGGAATAATAAGAGGGAAAATCTGTACATGTTCAGTATAGGCACAGTTTTCTTCCCCAGATATTTTTGATCCAGAGTCGGTTGCTTCTGTGAATGTGGAGGGGCAGTTGTATATCATCACATCCCAGAGCTGGTGGAGAAGAGCCCCCAGAGAGGCTCTGGGCTGCTCCCCAGACAGCACGCCTCTCAGCACCCGGCTGGTGGCCAACAGGGCAGGGAAATAACTAAGCTTTGGGGACCAAAATGTAAGATCTTTGAATTTCCTTTAAACTAGAATGAAGGTTGTTGGCTATAATTAGGAGTAGAAACAAACATGCAGATAATGTCAATAGTAAGTAAGAACCAAGATTTTTATCAAGTACTTAGTATTTAAATAAAAGTTATTAAGTACTTTGAGGTTTTCTGTGCATTTTTCAGTTGGGGTTTTACTATTCATCCTCCTTGCTGTTAGAAATTTTATAAGGTGGTTGAAAGCATTGATTTTGGAGTCTTTTCATCTTAGTCTGAAGGTTCATATTACAAACTTAACAGCAGTGAGGTCTTGTGAAAACTAATTAACCTCCCTGTGTTTCAGCTTTTCCATCTGTAAAATGGCAATAATTACACTCCTCTATCCTTCTAGCATTGAGTAAGTACTTTTTTAAAAAAAATATTTATTTATTTATTTAGTTTTCCGTGGACACAACATTTTTGTTTGTATGTGGTGCTGAGGATCGAACCCGGGCCGCACGCATGCCAGGCAAGTGCGCTACCGCTTGAGCCACATCCCCAGCCCATTTTTTTTTTTAAAGGCAATTAATCTTGGGGCTGGCCTAGGCTCAGTGGTAGAGCGCTTGCCTAGCAGGCGTGAGGCACTGGGTTCAATTCTCAGCATCACATAAATATAAGTAAATGAAATAAAGGTGTTTTGTCCATCTACAACTAAAAAAATTTTTTTAAAAAGGCAATTAGTCTTTAGAATTCTGATATGTTATTCATGAAGGGCATTTTTAGTAAAAGTTTTTATATATACATATATATGTATAAATATATATATACATATATATATTTAGTTGTAGGAATTTTAATTGCATTTTATATCTATATATATGTTTAGTTGTAGTTGGACACAATACCTTTATGAGGATTAAACCCAGTGCCTTGCACATGCTAGGCGGGCGTTCTATCTCTGAGCCACAACCCCAGCCCAGGCTTTTAATTTATTAACATTGCTACTGAAATCAGAGCCATTAGTACACCTGAGGCATGACCACAGTCTGATTGCTTGCCTCAGTTGTCAATGAACTCCAAGTCACCAGAAAAATGTCTACACAACTCATGTTTAAAGATCTACAAAAAAATGGGCTGGGGCTGTAGCTTAGTGGTAGAGTGTTTGCCTCTTACGTGGAAGGCACTGGGTTTGATCCTCAGCACCATGTAAAAATAAAATGAAGACACTGTGTCTACCTACAACTAAAAAAGTATTTTAAAAAAGACCTACAAAAATAACAAAAGGTAAGATTTATCACTCAAGTATTTCTGGCTTAACCTGCAAATCTGTAGTATATGCCCACCAGATATCTCTAAGGAAATTAATTAAAATGACAAGATTCTTTAGTCTTTAAAAACTTCTCAATGAGGAAAAAATAGCAGAAAATAGCAAATAGCAAAACGACATTAGGAAAGTCAGCTCATGATTCTGGGACCCCATGACTAGGAGACACAACAAATAATATGAGTTAGAATGTTGTTCTAAGATTCCAGGTTTGTTCAATAATATACTTTATTTCTCACTAATTACTAGAGCCAGTAATAGATCATTCTTCTTTAAAATTCTATTTTAGCAAATAAATGTTTATCAAAACCTCTAGGCATCATGTTTATAAAATGCAATTAAAATTCCTACACACAATCAATGACTATTATAAATCATGCATAACTATTATCTTGATGATAAACAGAAGAGACTCAGAAAAATACAATATTAAATATAATGCTTCAACAATTTGCAAAACATTAGAAGCACATCTTATTTGAAATTCTATCAAACTTTCAATTTGATTAGGTCTCAAAAATCACCACTAGATGGTGCTAATATACACTTTAACACAAACTCAAAAGATTTGCATCTGCTTTGGATGGGTTCAGGGTGAGGAGCAAGCCAGAAGGTTTTCTGGAGGAACTGCAGTAATTATCCTAGATGACAAACAGGATTATGCCATCTGTTACAGGAGAACGTGGAAGGCATTTCTATGACCTCAGAGTGAAAACCTGTTAAGAGAAACTTGTAATTCATTCTTCAAATATGTATCTGCTTGGCTTCAGACAATAGGCCTAGCCCTTGGCATTAAAAAAAAGAGGGAGAGAGAGAAAAGAACATGAAAGTACTATAAATAAATAATAACAACAGAGAATGACAGGTGAGGCGATAAAAGCATGTACTATATGGTGGCAAAGACTGTCACAACACACTAGTCTGAATGAGGAATACTGGGAGTCATGGCAGGGCGTGTCAGGTCTGGCCTGGTTGTTCCTTTTCACTTAAATTCTAACTAGCACCCAAACTTCCACCCATTAAAACCTTCCCCACCGTCTCTGTCACCCTTGCTCTCACATGAATGAGCTATTTACAGTTCCCACGGGCACCATGCCTTCGTGATTTTGCCCGTGGGGTTCCTTCTGCCCAGCACATCTTCTGCCTGGTCTCTTCCTGCAGGTACCCAGTGGGTTCCCACTCATTCTTCAAAAGCCCAAGCAGTTCATTCCTTGAGGGAGTCATTCTTGATGTCCTGCCTCTGACACCAAGATTCGGACCCTTGCTCACTTCTTTTCCCCCTTTAGAGTTCCCCAAATGGTTAAAATAGCTTGACAATCACTGATGCTTTTTTTTAAATGTAGGAAAATTTTAAAGTATTTATTAAAAGGGCTAGATGTTTTCATTGGCTTTTAAATGAAACCAAGGAGTTCTAAAAGGTTTTGAATGTGTAGCAATGGAAAAATTATAAAGATAATGCCTTTGGAGAACAATAGCCCTTTGGAAATAAACTCTGAAATACTTATTTTTTAAAAAAGGTAGCCTCCTTAACTTATGTCACTTGTATTCAAGACCATCCACAGTAGGAAGTCAAGACGTGAGTTCCTTAGGATGAGTCATGGGCAGACTGCGTAGGACCCTATAGAGACATACAGGCTCTTTGTGTGTGCGTGTGTGTGTGTGTGTGTGTGTAACAGGGAAGTGGTTGGCCTCATCAGAGCTACTGAATGTCACTGAACAGTTGGAAAAATTCAACAAAATAGGATTTGTTATGATATGATAGGCTTTGAAAGCCAGGCTGTGAAAAATCAGCAAAGATTCACCCACTACTAGAATTAGTAGCCTTGGTTGACTTCTTGAAATACATGTAATCAGTCAGAATCAGGAGGAAAAGCCTCTGTAAATGGTCTAGCATGCATTTAATAAAATCTTTTTCCATAGGTTTTACTAATTGTTTCATGAGGAACGTACACATTCTGACTAGGTCTTGCTTAATCACACTATTTGACCCAATTTCCTTCCCTTTCCAGTGTAAAGGAAATCTTAAACACCCTTATTTCTCAGGAGAGGTTTGTCTACATATGCTTTCTTCAGTAACTATTGATTAAATTTTCCAAACTAAGTCCCCAGGG